ATCATCATAATAATCTTCATGTATTAAAATGAACATTAGTAAGACTGATGGGCAAAAAGGAATGCTTAGAATAACATCTATGAAAATTAATGTTATTTAATCTGCTTTCACACTGATCTGTCAGGAACTTGGATAAATTTGGGTCACACATGCTAAATAGTTAAACATTAATTTCATTAAATAAAGACATGTAAAAAATAATGGAACTGGGTAATGAGAAATGTTCCCTTCATCAGTATTTATAGGAATAGTGATATGGTTTTAGAATCTGTTTGATTCTGCTGTTCCTGAAGCTGATAAATTTTAATAGAGTCAGGTTTGCAAAAGTGCTGGTTGAATTCTAGTGACAATGACTGATGGAATCCAGGTTGGGCCAAAGGTGCGGAATTTTAATTTTTTTCCTTAGAAACAAGGTCTATTTTAACATTTTAATTTTTTCTTATGATATGTATTCCACATAAATCTTTCTAAGATATTTGGAGCTACAGAAAACTGAAATTACATGAAGGGCAATGGGGGGCAGTCATCAAGAAAGATGTCTAAACCAGCAAAAATGGCAAAAAAGAAGATTGAAATAAGGCTTAATTCACAATCTGTGTCCTCATAACAGAATCTAACACTTAAAAACCAAAACAAGGTTGAAACCTGCTTTAGAGTATTTCAGTTCTAAGTTTTGGAACCCTGCTGAGGGGATTTTTCTCTGCTGGCAGTCTCAGACTAGAACTGTGCTCGGTTGTGGTTCAGTGGAGCTGCCTGGCCCGAGTTAATGGAACCGAGACCAACAAACACAGCTTTGTGCATTTTCTAAAGATGTCCTACTTCCTTGAGGGCCTTGAAATAAAGGCAACATATTGAAGACATTGTGTAAATCACTTCTGCATCAGTAATCTTTTGTGGCACAACATTTTAAACCATTTGCATAACAAAGGCATCTTTAAACCGTCTCCACAGAAGGCTTTGGCTCCAGAACTCTGCCCTGCTCTGCTCATCGAACATCCCAGCCTGAAATATGCAACAACTCGATCTGTAGCAAAACATCCTGTCGGTAAATATGAAAACTAAAGACTATTTTAAGCCACCATAAATGATTTAAAACATGGTTGTTTCCAGATGTGTTCGTTTCACTGTGTTATGATCACCAGTAGTTGTTTGTTTGACAATATGCTTATTGAATCGAATTTATATGATTATTCATTCTTCTGAAGAGTTCTGATTTACACAATCAGAGTTCTGGCTTGCAAAATGCAGGAGCCAGATGGAAATTCTTAAACTCAATTAACTCACTTCTTGCAGAAAATATTTATAATATACGAGGAGAAGGAGGAAGTAACAGAACCAGAAAATCAATGTTTATGTCCTCTAAATAAGGCTGAAACGCTGTTTGTTAGTCAGGAAGAGATGATGTGATAAAGGAAGGGGGAACTGATGTTCTGCATGGAATTGGTTAACTTTTTCATTTACGGAATCACAACCATAACAAAAAAATAATCATTACTTTGCTTTTCCTATTAAACAATGAATTCTCTAAAATGCAGCATGAATAGACAGCATGAGGAAAAGAATAAGAGAAAAAAAATACATATTGGCTCTTTCTCCTACCCTCATAGCACACTCAAAAATGTACATACAATTCTTTAACTGACCCAGATTGGTGAGCTAAATTATCTGTTGCCTTAAATCTCACAGAACTGTGCTTTACAATTCTTCTTAAAAACATTAAACACCTATTTTTGCTGTGCAGTGTAAGCCTGTGTTATGTTATTGCAACATTAATAATCTCCCTCATCTGCAAACAGGTGTCGAGGTTGGGCCCCAGCCACAAGGTGTTGCTAGAGCTGATATTTTGGACAAAATGAGGAAGATTGTCAAACATGGCCTTGATTTTGTGCAGCTTTTTAATGAAGGTAATGAGAGATTACAACCTCCTGTGTCATGTCAGTGGGCTGTTTTAAGAGAATATTTAAAATAGGCTGGGCTACAACATTTTTACCCTTAAACAGGTACAAAGGGACAGGGAGAGAATTGCTCTCTAAAATTAAAGTCAATACATTTGGTAAGATTTGGTTAGACCAGGGTACTATCTGAAATACATCCTGACAAAATAGGTGTTTAAAATTCTTTCAGAGTAAATTTTATCAGTGGGGTTTGGGGTTTGTTTTTTTTTTGGAAGTAGAAGGAACATAATGCAGTTTTGCATGTCAGAATATTTCCATTATTGTGCTGGAATGGTAAAGATTAAAAACCACTGATACCATTCTGTGCTGTGCAGCATTACCAAACACAGGCCTTTCATTGATTTCTTCGTCTACAAAATAGATCTTTTTAACTATACAGGGAAAAGTCACATTTCAGCAGCAAATTTAGGCCTGGGCTTCATATGCTACAATATGAGACTGGATCATCATTTTGCAACTCACTTTGAGGGGACAACCCAATGGTTTGAGCCATTCTAAAGAGAATAAATAATGTATTGTTCTTTTTAACAGGCAGTTGTTCATTTTGACATTAAATTACATTTATTCTTTCTAGGAAAGGAATTTCCGCCGTGTACAATCGAGGTTTTTAAAATAATGGAGAAAGTAGATTATCCCAGGAATAAGAATGATGAAATTATTGCTATTATTCACCCTAAACTGCAGGTAAATGCTAGAATAGTTTCTATTTCTGACATTTTCTACGTATTCTTGTGTTGCTCCTGCTACATTGTTGTGTATTTTAGTAATAAATATTTAAAATGCCAATATTCCCAATGGGTTCATTGAATACTGCAGACATTCCCTATGGTTCACTAAGGTCATCACTATTTCAGGGACAGTCTTGGGAATCACTGAATCTAAAATGAGTTATGAACCTAAAACTGAGAAGAAAAAGACAATATGATAGCTTATATTTTAAAATATAAATCTAATTTTCAATTGTAAAATTTTTTAGAATACATTTAATCAATTGTGAGCATCTGCAGTTTCCTTCTAGTTCACCTCTGCCAGTGAATTCTCTACCAGCCTGAAAATGAGGGCCAGACACCTAAAATTACCAGCTGCAGATTAAAAGGAATTCTTCTAAAAGCTTTTGTCATAAACTGCAGATATTATAATTATTGAGCATAAACTCAGGAATTACAGAATATATAAAAACTTGAAAGTAAACATATCCTATTTATTTTCTTTCCCTAAGGATCAAGACTGGCAGCCACTGAACAATGGTGATCCTTTGTTTTTGACTCTTGATGGAAAAGTAATTCCATATCAAGGGAACTGCACAGTCTATCCAACATTTATTAATGAAGCTGCATATTATGAAAAGAAACAAGCTTTTGTAAAAACAGAGAAAATTAAACTCAATGCAAAACACCTCAGGTCCTCAGTCTCAAACCAGAGCACTTCTTAAGAGTTTATTATGGATTTTCTGTAAAAAAGTGCGTTTCTTTGTGAAATCCAGGGTCATTCAGCAGTAATTCATGGAATAAATAGGTAAATGCAGAGTCTAATTTTAAATTGTAATTTAATTAACCTTGCTGAGCACTTTTAAGATGAGACATACTGTCAGAATGCTGATTATGACTCCTGTTTACTTGTTCTAAAGGATTCCTAGAGATGTAAAGAATATTTTATGAAGTTTTTATGAAGATGCTTATCCACAAGACTACATTATATATAAAAAACCCTACAGTTTTTCTATTTTATAACCCCAAACCTCCAATAACCAACACTTTTTAAAATGGGGTGAGAGCCTTGAAACTAATTCCTCAGATAAACTTACAAAATGTGAGACAAAGAAACAGCTGAGGAGAGAGAAACAAAGGTATATAATAAATGATATTATCTGCATATGTGACTAATTCCCACTGTGCTGAAGTGGAGGCCTTGGGGTTTGTTTTTCTTTTTATACTTACAAAGATAAAAATAAGCTAAAAATACAGGATTCCTGAGAAAAATACACTAAAATGAAATGTAAAGCTTTTCCAAGTATTACAAGATTAATTCAAGCTCTTTCTGATTGAACACTGATTCAAAGACAGAAAGGGTTGGCTTTAGGAAGTACTGAGTAGTTGGGAACATACTGGAGCAATATTGAAATTCAGAAAGAAAAGATGTGCTTAACCAGTGAACCTTTAGAAGAAAATTTCTATTGCAATGGAAAAAACCAGAAATTTACAGTCATTGAACTCCCTAGATGTATCCACCTACTGCTGATAACATTTTCCAAACAAAACTTTCATCAGCTGTTGTACCCCAAAAGTTTTCAGAGAAAAAGGCAAGATTTAAGCAATTACTTGGGTTTTGATGAAGAGCAATGCACAAACCATACCTGAGTATTTCAGAATGGAAATTCAGAAGGATTCCACATGGGGAGACTTCTCAGAATTTCGAGACTTGTTCTGTATCTGCAGAGAGAAAATCTGTCATAGGAACTGAGAAAGAGAAGAAAATGGGGGTTTAATTTATTTTCTTAAGTTGTTTTTAACGTATTTGACAATTTAGTGATAAACATTAAGAACTTTCTAATTAACTATTAACCAAAAGACTAATTGTCCAGATAACTCCCATATTATACCTTTTGAAAAGTGATGTCTTCCTTATTTACTACTAAATTTAAAGTATTTTTTCCTTGTCTTCGTGTAAGTCCTATGGCAATCAAATAAAAACAAAGGACAGAATGCTTATTGAGTTACAAGTTTTATTTCTTTAATTTAAATAAACATTTTTGTATAAAAAGCACAGAATCACCTGCTCCAGTCATCATTCACAGTGTCCTTGGTGAGAGCCTCGAGACAGGAGCCAGCCTGTGTGATCTGCCAGAGCTCTGTGGCCACACAAGGAGGGTATTTCCTCAGCAAGAACTTTTAGAAACAGCCCCTCAGCTCCTTCCTCACTTTGTCCATTTGGTTTTGTACCTGGACACTGGCACAGCACATCCTCTCAGCCTGTGTTCAGTGACAACCCACAGAAACACGGTTCTCTCTGGCCCCTGAGTATGTGTGAAGAGGTATTTTTTTTTTTCCTTTGTACAAGAACTGGCACTGAAAAGGATCCAAACAGAACTGTGGAGTCCTAAGGCAAAATCCTTTGTTGGCAGTTTCAATGCAAAATTAACCAGCAAAGATGAAAGATTCCAAGACCACAGGAATTTTTCTTCTCATACTCCCATTTCCTACTAAGAAAGGCAAACAATGCTCAGGTATTCTATGGTCTGTGAAGGTCCTTCCCCTCAAATTCCTCTGCCCTGTACAAACATAACTGAAGGTTTCCACTGGATCCCATCCATCCGTGGTAGGAAACACAGGATTCAGCATCTGTAGGAGGCTGGTTGGGCAGTGAGAGCCATGTTCCCAATCCCTGCAAACAGCTCTGTGCTGTCCTTCCCTCACGCTCTCTTCTGGGGTAAGAAAGTCCTTGGGATCATTTTGCCCACAGCAGGCTTGGCTGTAAAATCCAATGCAATTCTCATTATCATTCAAACACAGAACTGAGCTCCCCCGAGCCTTGCCTAAAACAGCACCTTTAAAATAGGCACCACGTGAACAGATCTGATGAAAAGCCATGACACTGAATACACATCATGTATTAATTGAAATTTAAAAGTACATAGAACAAATATTTCTTTTTATGTTTACACATGAAATAGAAAACTAAAAATATAATTCATAGTACTAGGTCATCACAGGTAGTGAAATAAAAAGTGCCACAGAAATGCATTACATAGTTCTCTGAATAAAAACAAGTCTGCAATTGCATTGCACTGAACTTATTCTGTTCATTTTGGGAAGAAATACTGACTTATTTTCCTGAAGTGGTTGAATGCAGAAATGAATTCAGAAGAACCTCCAAGGCAATAACTTATTTTATGTAGCAAGATGCAACAGCACGGAAAAACCAAGGAGGAAAAGTAAAGACATCGTGAACGGGACAAAGTCAGAAAGATCCTCCATCATGAGTGATATTTCTGCCCTATTATTTTATGGGGAGACACAAACTCTTAGTAATAAATAAAGAGCAGTAAACACCATATTATACCCTGGGGACTGCACAGAGGAAAACAGATCAGGCAAAGCTACTGGGACCTGAAGAGGCTTCTCCAACTTGTGGGACCGAGCCTCCAATAACACTGACAGTCAATGCAAAAGCTGCAAATGCATCCAGCACTTGGTTATTTCAAAATAACATACTTCATTTAGTCGTCTTCAGAACTGAAATGCTTTTCTTTGCTCCATTGCAAGAACTTAACTTTGTTCAGAGTACAAAATGAGTTTCTCATGAGTTAACAGATTCCAAAAACCAGCAGATTGGGATCGCGATGACCTTAATTTTCCACAAAAGGAAGAAATATCTCACATTTGACCTTTTTTATCCACTTAAACCTCTAGAGCCAAGTTTGAGTAGCGTCACACAAACTTGGACAGCAACAGTTTGAGAGGCTCAAAACTGAACCAGTGAATAGTCCATTTTATTTCAGTTCAGCTGCCCTGATTAAATGGGTTCAAGCCATCAGACTGTGTCACTGAAAGTTCGTGTTTCAGCTGGTTACAGCTGTCCAAAACATCCACAAAGCTTTCAGCATCCACTGCTGATGCTTTTTAACCTTCAGAACAGCCACATATCAAATACAGCACAAGCTAAACGGAAGTTTCAGGCAAATCATCCATTTCTTCAAACGTATTCAAGGTGTTTTTGCTATTAGTTCTTGAATTATCTTGAATTTTGCTTGGATCTGCAAAAAAATGCATTGTAAACAAAACAGGATATGGTAGAAACTGTGTATGCAAGATCAAAGTTTTGTACATCTTTTTTTGTTTGTTTGTTAAAAATATGCATTTATTTAAACAGCAAGGTGTCAGTTTACTACCATATCTTACATAAATTGTTCTGGCTGCCCCTTTTCCATATTACTGAGCTCATTCTTTAAGCAATATAAATGCTAATTGGCTCAAGAAGAAACTTCAGAACAAGTCTCCCAGATCCTCACATGCCCCTGTTGTGTCCTGACTCCTGCTGCCAGAGGGACATTAGACAACTCAGGTTGAGTTCATTTTTCCACAGCACTCCAGCACTGGCAGCAGAGGAGTCTCTTGGATTTCCTGGTCCACATTTATTAGCAGCAATTTGTCATCCAATATCTATCACAAATCATTAAATGTTTGTAACCAACCCTCACTTCAAATCTTTTAAAATAATTTAACACCCCTACCAGGTAAACTATTAGTTTTTGCAGCAGTAAAGTGTGGTTGAACGTCTAGATTATGTGATTTTATGGTTTTAAAGGTGTAAAATTATATCCAAGCATTTATAAGAAAAGCTTTCAAAAATACAGTGTCATAAAATCCCACAGTACCTGTTGGCCCTGGATCTTCATTAATAAATGAAACATGTGTTTTCCACTCGGTCCATTTCACTTCATTAATCCTGTTTATATTGGATATAAGTTGTGTTATTATCATGCATTATCTCCCAGCTACATTGCTGCTCTTTCCTTTTTATTCTTTCTTGGGATTGTCACACTTTACCACCCACACTTGCTTTCCTGGGACTAAAAGGCTGACTGTCCCTTGCAGTGTTAGGTACCACATGAAGGTGAGAATAATACTAAGACTGCTTTATAATTTAACACACTGTGAGTACAACTTGAAACACACCTTCAGTATTTTTGATAAACCAGCATTGTTCTTTAATATGCTAATCACCAAATAGCAATCAATTTAAATATAATTACTTTTAAGCTAACATTCAAAGGAGATTATGACAAAGTAACATTTACTGCAAGCAGACTTGATATTTGCACAGTAAAGACATATATGAAGATGAAAATCTGTTTTCTTACCAAAAAAAATTATCTACACCTTCCCTTTTTTAAAACAATTGGTCGCAACTGAAAAAAACCCCCTAAATTATATTTTTGTACACCCGGTATAATTTGTAGAGATACCAGGAATATTTTAAAGAGGAGAAGTAACCTTGAAGTAGCCTCCAAGGCAGAATTGATAGCACAGTGATCTAGCTTTGCTTTACCTTAAACACACCCTGGTGTCGTTTTCAGCCACTTTACACCGCTCCCCCAGTTGGAATTTTTTCCTCAAACATTTTGGCAAGAATTTTTCAAATTCCAAAATAGTTCTGGCTCTCTATTAACAATAAATGAGTATGGTTAACCATGTCCAACATTGTCTGATTCCACAGCATGTGCAGTTTGCAGCTTCATTACAACATGTCAAGCCTCCATCCCACCACCCACAAGCAACACCAAATAACGTGGCACATCACTGATTGTCTGTGTGGGAAAATAGGGATTCACAGATTCCTGGTGATGGTGAAACACCATATCCAGGAGAGCAAAAGTCATGAAGGTATGTGACAGTGCATGGGTTGGAAATCCAAGCCACAATATTACTTTTAGAAGTTGTTAAATCTGAAGTTATTACAATTCTCTGACACTGAAATTAGTTATTTCCATTATTCACTCACATATATGAATGGGTATTATCATTAATGCCTAACCTGTTCTGTCAGCATAAGAGTTACCATAGACACAGCTCAAGAGATTTTAACCCAAGCATCTGTACTTCACTAAACAAACTCCCAAACAAACCTGGAGTTTCCAGATGTGCTCGCTCTCTTTAGAAATATCCTCCACTGTTTCTCCCATCAGCGCAATCAGCATGTTCAAGAGGAGAACAAAAGTCAACACAACAAAAGTTATGAGGAGTAGAAGAAACAGGACAGGATACTTGGAGTTTTGCTGGATCTCCAGATCTCCCAGTCCCAGGGTGAGCTTGAAGAGATCCATCAGCACAGGCCCCAGGCTGCTGTTGGAATGGCATTCGCCACCCTCGTGGCAGGTCTCGATCAAGGCAGCAAGAGCTGAGGAGAAAGCAGGAGGAAATTTCAATCACAGTCATGCTTTAGGAATAGGTGGCATTTTATCCTAAAGAATTCACAGTGCACTGGGAAAGAGAGCCAGAGCTGCCCAGCAACACACAGCAGCCAGATGAGGGATTTCCAGGAAGCAGAAAGAGCCCATGTTCAAATGGAATTGCAGGCAATTAAGAGCCAAATGACTCATCTGTTCACATCTAAACTTAATATCCAGAAGAAACCCCAACGTGAGCTCTCATCATGAAAACAGGGTTCTTATGAATAATAATGCTAAAATTTTTACTCACACAGAGCATCAGTGCTTTTCTCCAGTAATATTTACCTACGCCAAATCCCAGCAAAAACACGATATAGACAACTAAGAATTTTATCACATCTTGCAGGATGACCTAGAAATTAAATGAAATAGTTGTCAGAAAGTAAAACTGAGGACTAGTTTTATGCTTATGAATTCTGCAGGGATACAGGTGAGGCACATAGTAAAGTATCAGCCTGCTTTCATTGAGTAAACTGGTTTAGTCTCAATGAGAAACATAAAGGTCTGATTTGTTATCTCATGCTTGAGAGCCTGATGTGTTGAGTGAGGGTGACTAATTCTGTACAATACAGACATTACAGCATATGATGCAATTAAATTGCAGAACTACATTTGTTGAAAAAAACCACAATTATATTTAGTATAATAATTTAATATAATAAAATGTCTGTTTGAAGATATAAACTAGATTCTGTCATTGAAGTTATCTAGTGTGCCCTGCTGAAATAATATGTATAAATTGAAAATAAGATATTTCAATATGAACTATAAAATACACCTAAATTGCTTGAATATACTTGATATGGATTGTAGAACAAGTGAGGACTGTAAAGGAGGTAAAACAAAAGAAAAACTTGCCTTTTGAATCATCACACTGTAAATGCCCATGGACTGGAAACCTCTGGTGAAATAGAGCATATTGGCCCATCCAAGGGCCATTGCCAAAACAAGACACACCAGGTGTTCTTTGTAGGAAAACAAGTACAAAAAGACAGAGAAGATCACAAGCAAAGCTTGTATAAAACTGTTAAAAAACAAACACATATATGTAAAAGAGAAATTACTAGCACAAAACTAACAACACAGTGGAAAAATATGAAAACAAGACTTCTTCACTCTTTATGCTTAGTTTGTAATTGCATTCTGCTTTGTATTCTCCCCATGAATATTGTCATTATTTTTTAACAATAAAATAGATCAGTACAGGTGGTGTAAGTATATCAATATATAAGGATTATATTTATTAAAGTTGACTTTCAGTGAACTATTCTCCCCAAAACAGTTGTTACAGAAAAGTTGCAGGTAAGATTACATCCATCCCTCTAAATCTGATAATCTAGAGAAAAAGATGAGCATCTGCTACAGCAGCACATTCCCTGTGACCATGAGATACAGAAGCATTTTATACAGAGCATAAAATATATATGTGCACATCAGACTTACAATGCAAAGTGGAACCAGGCATCAGAGAGAATTGACTGCAGGTCTGAGGGCCTGAGCAGAAAGATGGCTACACTCTATGTAGACAGATATAGAAAATATAGAGGTGGTAGTGAGGGAAAACAGGTCTCAAAATCTAGTTTTCAAAATAATTTCATTAGTGTTCTAAAATAATGCATCTACTAATAAGACATGATAACTTCCAGAAATAGAGTTGGGTTTTTTTATACAACTGTAACTTCTAAGTTTAAAATTCTGTCATGTCTGGTATAATTTAAAAGTTACTGGGTTTAATGACTTCCAGTATTTGGCAAAATTATACCATGTTTTTTCCAGTAGAAGTTCTAATTCAAAAGTGTCCTTAAAGCTAGTAATTTGACAATGTTGATGTTATAAAAATATCAAATCTCTGCCTTGAAAATTTGAAGGGAAAACACCCTCATAGCTGTTTCACAGAGCAATACAGGTGCATTCAAATATACAACCAGGGTCATTCTGGTAAGTGACGTATTGTGCCAAAGACTTAAAAAGTTACACATATCAAAGATACTCCACATGTATTGTGGGTATCAATAAAATCATCATCAGCATGCTCATAAATCTAGAGAAGTTCTTCATGTAGTTATTTATATATTTGTTAATAAAAAGTCTTACCTCTTTAATGGCTAAAAATATTGCTCCTAACATAACCATCACCTGTCCTGACAGCTGCAGCCATCCCACTCCACGTGTCAGAGCAAGTGGATAAGGTGGAGCCTGCAAGACAGGTCCAAAATTAAGGACTCAGTTTTACCTGAAGGGTAAAAGGCAGAGCAACAAGAAACCTCCCCACATGGGTACACAATTTCTTTCCCTTTCTGTAAGGATTTTTTTCACAATTTATTTAAAGAATTAGCCCCTTCACAGATATATGTTTGAAATAGCAGAAGTTTCTCTCTTAACAGAAAAATACCTTCTCCACACTTTTAGAAATTTAACAAGCTGTCTTTGTATCATGTATTTGTATTTTGGGTCATTTTCACAAAATGTAAATGTAGTTATATCCTCTTACTGCTCTGCTTCCTTCCAGGTACCTGACGTGGCAGAGCCTGGTCTCCCTACAGTCAGATATTCCCACAACTGCTTCTGGTTTAGCATTTTCAATATAATTCAGGAAACCCTACTGCATTTTAAGTCAGTGAAATTTGGTGAGATTCAGTCACTGTACTCACTTTATTTTCATTAGGCCTGTGGTAGGAAACTAATGTTAAAGTTACATTGTACAGGAAATAAAAACAGCACGACATAAAAAACATGTGTCGTGCAAACTTCTTCCATTTCATTCGCAGGAGGGAATTCAGAGGCTCCAAAGTCAGCATTTCATGACGGTTCTGTAGGGGAAAAAAAACCAAAATAAACCAATTAAGACTTGAATTTCAGTCATGTATTTTGTGCATTTCATTCAGTTCCCACCCTTTCTGATCCAGAAACACATCTGTGCTCAGAGACGGGTCAGACCCCAACGTGACAAGATGCAATAGGACAGCTCCCACTCATGCTAGGGTAACCTGCCATTCTCTCTCTGGTAAGTTATGATGGAGCTAAAACTGTCATGTGAACTTCTGGTCTTATGGTTTTATGGCAGTATTAGAATTCAGCAAATGTAAAATTCTGGCTTTGAAAAGCAAACACTCCTAAACATGTAAAAGACATACCTATTAAGTGAAGTTTATTTGGCCTGACCAGCTTGGCCATACTTAAACACAAGGTAAATTAATGCTTCTAATGTAGGAAAAGACATTCCCAAAATGCCTAGCCCATGTTTCAGGAGCTGAATGCATATTCACTTACAGGTGACCATCTACAGAGGTATAAAATTTATCTTGCTCCCGATACAAAAACCGAGAACAAAAATTACAGTTTACTCTTACAAGTAATTCATTGGAATACATAGACTAACACATCTGAAATGAGTGTACTGTTAGGAAAAAATGGATCTGTATTTTAAAAATAGGTAACTTACACCAATATTTGTGTTATAGACAATGATTTCCAGCACTGAGTTGTCTGCAGTGGTGTCCAGTTCTGTCAGGTCGTACAGAGAAGACTGAACAGGACCATAAGCCCAGTCTGTGAATTTTCTTGACAGGCTCCTGTTTGGCTTCTCTCTGATCTCTCTGCTCAGGATGTATTTCAGAATCTAAAACATTAACAGGATCATTTGTGAGCAGCTGTGTTGGTCATGGGAAAGGGGAAAGTACATGAACACACAGGCCCAAACCCCAACCTTTTGCCTGTCACATTTTGTACAGTTGTGCAAAGTCAATGTATTTGTAATTGTGTGTTGGAGATGAAAGACCTCCAAGAATTAAATACAGAGTTTCTAATGCCTCCATATTTTCTGTCAGAGTCATTTTTCTAAAGGATAAAAGCAAAATTTTCCATGTGTTCATTTATGTCTTCCTTCAACTTAATCAATTCTTTTCTAAGTTATCCCATTGCCAATTTTTTACAATTCAGTAGATTTCTGAAAACCAAATTCTACAGCAGTGTAACAGAGCAGTTCCAGTGAGTTTTCTGAAACTGTTCAAAGGTTGCATAAGTGCAATATGGTAATAAATGCAGAATTTCTGAGTTTCTGTGCAACAGAAGAGTTTGCCAAGCTGTTTTTAAACAATGTGTATTTTGTACAGAGAGGGGGAGTTACAGGGAAACCTTGAAAGGTAGAAGCAATGTGGCAATGAAAATGTTTGCTTGTGTTTTAAACAAAATCAGCTCACTAAATACTACTGATACATAGCAGCATAACCAGGCTGAAAAAGGATGTGTCACAGCACTAGTTTCTCTTAGATGCTACTGAAATAGTACCCACCTCTAATTTCCCAGTTTTTGCAGCCAACTGTAGTGGTGTCAAACCCTCCTTATTCTTTGTTGTTTCCAAATTTTTGTCTTTACTTTTCAACAATATCATATCATACATCCTGATTACAAAGTCATTCTGAGTTTTGGAGTCCTCTGCCACAGTAACTAATGCATGGAGGATATTGTTTCCTCTGGAATCCTGAGAAGAAATATTAGTCCTGGCATTGTCCATTAACAGCTGAATTATGTCTGGTTGGTTGGTACAGGCAGCTAATGCCAGCGCAGTTTCACCTACAAAGATCATAAAATGCAACATGTGTTCATGTTTTATTACAAATCAGATTATAAAAGAGTGACTGTGTTAAGAATCTTAACATATGAAAGTACATTTACATATTGATTGTATTGAGTTAAGCTCTTGTTTTATAAAAGCTTTGGGTATTCCTTCCTAACTTTTCCAGAAAGACCACATTTCCACTTACCAAAATAAAAGCCTTCATGCTTATGTTTGGGATTAAAGAAAATACCCTGGGCATGAGCATTGACATCAGCTCCTTTTTCTATGAGGCTCTGGGTTATTTCATACTGTCTCCTCTCAATGGCAATGTTTAGAGCTGTCTGGCCTGGAAAAACAGACACAGGAATCTCTCAAGTACATTCTGAAATATCAATGATATTTCACAGTGAATAGCACCAGTGAATAAATGAATTAAAGTAGGTTTAGGAATTTAAACCATCATTAGAGTGTTTGAGGAGAATGGTATTTTATGGATGGTATGTTTAACCATATACCTGAAACTGGTATCAGATGGCAGTACCTTTATATGCCTCTTCTGTGTAAGCTGCATTGATAAATCTCTCCAGAATACCATTTTCTTCTGCAAAGGACAGGAGCATATTCACAATCTCATTTGTGTTCTCATTGATGTTCAGCAGAGCTTTCATCAGACAAGTTTTGCCAGTATCTGAAGCTGTGAATTTTTTCATCAGATAATCTACAAGAGTGAATTTTTAGGATTAGATCAGCATGATTTACTAAACTTTTGTTAATTAGGGGTGAAACCTGAAGGATATATATGAACATAAACTATTAACCACTAGTTTTCCTGTTGGACATTCCACCACCATAACTCCAGACAGATCCAAATTCACAGGGAAGTAGCTGCTGCACAGAGATAATTCCCAGTTTTAGGCTACAAATGTGCTGCCAGAAGAGGCAACAATCTTCCCCTGGGTATCTGCACCCCTCACCTGGCACAGTCATGTTTGTGCAGGCACTGGATCGCTCCTTCAGCTCCCCCAGCAGACACTGCAGCTCCTCCACATTCCCCTCCGACACTGCCCGGAATAGGAATCGCTTCAGCTTCTTCCTGGCACTGGTCTGCTCAGGTCCTTGGGACATGTTAGCACTGGATTGTAAGAAATAACGAAATTCCTGATTACATTTACTATTTTTTATGTTATTTTCTACAGAAGAGGGAATAAAAATACAATTACTTGCCTCAGACAACCCATACCTGCCCTGCTTCCACATATATCTCGGCATGGATCTCACAGAACATTTCCCAGTTTGCTTATTTGCAGGTAAGTGGTTACTGAGGTGTTTTATAATAAACCAGCACATTTTTCAAGTATTTTGTTTTGTGTTCTCATCAGTTCACCCAGAACAAAGGCTGAGAAATACTTCTCTGACCTGCCCACAACTCACTGACTTCAGTGCTGAGGTTCCTGATGCTGCACTCCAGCAGAAGATTTTTTAACCTCATATCTGACACCTCTTTCCTGATCATCCATTATTCTGGAATAAGAATGATTTAATAATTTCCCCAGTCAGAAACACCCCCATCTCATGCCTAGCTGTGCATGGTGTGTAGGTCCTGTGTTGTCATCTAGAAAACAGACTTTATGTATGAAGAATCCTCACACTAAGCATGAAATCTGAGAAAAGCAGAGATTAGAGTTGTTTAATTCAACATTTAATTATAGAGGAATCAGAAATGTGTGCACACACGTGACCTTTTTCCTTAAACAATGGCAGGCAAAATAAGGATTATCTTCCCTGTCATAAACTTAATCTGTTAAAAATGTACTGAAAAATATTCCTGTCTCCACTCACCAGCAACTGTCCACATTAGGACTGTACTCAGTGGCATCATCCTGAAGAGACTGTGGGGAATCCATGTCTTCCCCATTTCCAGAAGCACTAAAGAAAACAGAAAAGCACATGTGCAAAGATATTAAAAGATATTTTAGCAAACTGCATGAAGAATCAGTCAGTGGTAGGAGGCAGTATCTGCAGCAGAGTTAAAATTAGTCTAATTTGAAATTGTGCATTTTAACACTGGAATTTTATTTCCCACATGAATTTTAAAATAAGTGGTAAAAATTGAGAGACTCACAGGATTTTATTATATTTTTTAAAAACACATTAGGAAAGCAATCTGCTTTGTGTTATATTATTTCGCTACAGATCCTGAAAATGTGAGAAGTTTTTTCTTCCTTTTTTTTTAAATGATCACTGCGTTTTATGCATCATCCTGAATGTTTGAAGGCTACAATCTTCCTTTTCACATGCTTAATTTGTCATTTGCCACAAAACAAGTGCTAAATCAGTAGCAGTACGTGGGTTGCAAGCCCAGAATGGAAGTGATTTACCTAAAGTTTTACTACACAGAACACTGTTGGCAACTCAGGAACATTTTGTGGTTGACTTGAATGGAAGCTTCACCTAAAAGAAGTTGAGGACTGGGCCTTAAATACGTTTTAGGTAATATATTTAGAGAATTTCAATGGAACTAGTATTTTGTAATTGCTGTACATAATTTCCAGACAGCCCTACAAGCAGATCTGACTTTAAAATTCATTATAATTTTTCTTACTTTTATTTTTGTTTTCTGCAAGGTTCAGATTTGATGAACTTCCTCAGGTTAATAATTTCAGGAATATGAACTACAAGTTATTGACAAAACAGATGCATGGACAGCCATGCAAGTGTCCAGCACTGCTCTGAAGGTATTCCCTTCCCTTTGAACTAAAGCTGAGAGCTCAGAGTCTGGTTTTATCCCATCTGTCATTCCTGCAGAAAACTGAGGAATCTCTGGCAAAAACTGTGTGTGTCTTGTGCAGGTCAGTCCCTGAATGAGAGGAAGAAATTTGGATACCTCTCCTCTGAAACCAAAATCAGGCTGTCAGCTAATTCCAAAAAGCTGAGCAGACACCCATCAGAAACACAAAAACCTTTGGCCATTCTGGGCTTTTGGTAGATTTGTTACATATTTCCCTTACTCATCGTTATTGGCTGTTGGCACCTCACACATTTTGAAAAATGACGTGCATTCTTCCCAGTCATAATTTTCCTCTATTCATTCAGCATAAATGGCTGCTTTAAATATTTCCCACTCAGCAGTTCCATGTTGTTTGATTGCTAATGAGCAATAGAGGGAGGACGTCAGCACCCAGCTGGGAACAGGGTTTGCTAAATTAAGCTGTGGAGTTTGTTCTAATGTATCATTAATGAGAGGCTAAGAATAAAAAAAGTACTGATTTTAAAATTACTCCAAACTGAGGCCTGATTTATTCCATGCAAGTGTCAGCAGTAGATAAAGATAAGTCATCTACTGATCAACAATGGACTCCTGTGAAGTTCTGTCTTTGAACTGACCAGAAGCTATGAAAACTCATGTGAAATTCTAGCCCTGGAGTCTAAGGGGAAATAAGGAGTAGCTGCTGGAAAGAAAATAGATATATTTGCAGTATGACTATTGCAGATGCATCTATAACTTACCAGGGACGAATATTTGAATCCATTGGTTTTGAAAACACAGGGGGAGATGTGTTATTTGGAGTGGCATTGCTTTCAAAACCATCAATCTCCAGGAAAAAGTGGGAACTGTTGAAGACAGTGCATTTAAAAAATATTACTAATAAAAGACAAGTCCAACCACAGACCAAGCAGAGCTCTACAAGTACATACCTAGGGCAGGCTTGACAATTAATCTTTTCTGGCATTACCTAACAAGATGCTGGAACAGAGGCTTATCTGCTTTTCCCTGGGGAGATCCCAACCTCCAGCACTGTGCCCAGCTCGTTCATGCTGGCAGATGGGCAAAATTCCTAAGGTATTTTTAGAACACATGGCATCAGATCCTGACATGTCTGAGAGCAACCCCAGCAGCCCTAAACCAGCCTTGCATTCAGCTCCAGTGCAAAGAGCCAAATGCAACCCCAGTCACTGCCCAACTACACACACACAACTGCTTTTTAATCTACTGCATCCTACTCCCTTTTTCTCCAGCCAGGAGCCATCAGATGGATCATTTCAAACCCACCAGCAGTGATAATGATGAAATCAGAATGTTTGAAAGGTCACATGTTAAATGACATCAGGCATTTCCACCAGCCAGGACTGACTGTGTCCTCTTGCCAGTCATGCATGACATTTAACTATTTTTTTCCTGATAAATAATTATATAAATATATATGTAATTATTTATAGTGAAAAATAAAATTTGAAGCAACACAGAAAAGGCAAATGAAAAGAATAGGAAGATATCATCCTTTAAAAGCCTGCAGAGTTGAGAGGCAAAAATCAATGGCTTGGTATTACTGGATCTCACTAAAACATTGCTACAGTTCACCACAGAGAGAGAAGTTCCAGTGGTGGGTGTAGCAACTCCCACATGGGCTGTTGTTCAGAAACTGTGTTACATTTCTAAAAATGTTCCAGTAGTCACCTGGAAAACGCTTCCAATTCATTTAATATTTATGGTTTAGTCCACAGGGTATTTCTTTCTCTTTTTTTAACTGCAACTTCCCCAAAGAATCCTGTTGAAGTCAAGTACATGTACTAATGCTAAAATGTAGTGTTATTAGAACCCTATTGAACAACCTGCTGATGTTTGCTAAAAACAGCATGACCTAATTCATCTCACTTTCCAATGGCTTGGTGACCCAAGTGATAATTCACTGTGTGTAGTTATTTAAACTTTTATGACCTTTTAACATTTGAGATGTGCCTGTGAATGTGTTCTAAGCAGACAGCAAGTAAAATGTCACTTCTGGTGAGCAGGACTGTGTCCCTGAAATTACCTGGGCAGAGGGTAGGAAAAACCCAGACAGAACCAGGACCATCAGTTGTGCCAGTCACTGCTGTTTCACTGAGGTCTGGACTTGGCAGAGGGACTGTGGAGGAGTGGAAAAAACAGGGGTTCATCCTGGTTTTTTGCATTCCCTGACCATGAAGTGCAGGAGCTGTCCCAACAGGGACTTGTTGAAGGCTACAGTGAGGCTCCCTAAAGCCAGAAGTGTCAAGGTCTAGGCTCTGCTGGACCTTCTCACCTGAGGGGACAGTGCATCACAGGCTGATGCCTCAGAGCAGCTCCTGCTCTCCCACCAGTGTGTTCCTGCTGAAGGTTTTGGCAGGTACAGCAGCTATGGAGTGAACCCTGTTTTGGAGGCTGCCAGACCTCACCTACCCTGGCATGTGGGTTACCTGGGGATATCATGGGGGAAAAAAAACCCCAAAGCCACCGTGCAAAGCAGTTGGAGAGTTGCCAACAAATACCCAAATGCTTACGTGGCCCTGGTGCACTGCCCACAAACATCAGCAGGCTCTGACAACGTTTGCAGCCTCCTCCCAGTTTTCCTGTACTTAATTATATACTGTTAATCCAAATTCCTGGGCCTTCAAGAAGAGAATGTCATTGTCTTTCAAGAAAATGCATATTGCCAGTACATTTTGTTGAGTGAGAGATGCCACCCTGGAAGTGCAGCAGCTGCTGGTGGCACAGTTCGAGGAAGTGTCTTGCAGCAACAGGATAAAGCAGCACAGGAACATATAATTAATAGAACATGTTAAACCCCTGCATTAAAATTCATGGGACCTCGGTGCTGTGTATCACAGGAATGTTGTGGGCCACACCTCTCTTGGTGTGAGAGGTGGTAAAAACCCCACAGTTACTGTTCTGGAGGCCACAAAATTGAATGTGAGATATGAGGTAAGTAATTGAGGGCTTGGGTTTGGCAGTGATCTTACAACCACACAATCTCCCATAAAATTGCCCCTTTTTGAAGTTCTGGGTGTATCACGAGCTGCTCAGACACCTCGTCTCCCCCATATGCCACCAAAGAGCTTCTCTTTTGGAATTTAATGACAGAAAGACAAATTGGACCACCCAGGCAGTGGGTCTCAAATAACTAATGGCACCATTTCTGTGAAAAGTAATTCTCTGATTATTGAGAATTATAAATGTCAGAACAGCCACAATTGCCTAGGCCTTCAGAGTTTCAGAAATTGCCATAATAACTAGTAATTATCATCCAGAGTGAAAAGTTTATGAATGAAAATTCATCCTCGCTCTACAGCAACTTAGTTCACTTCAATAGCATGGTATCAGGTAGGAATTACAGCTTATATTTCCCCACTCATATTAAATACAAACCCGTAGTCCCTTTATTAATCTCTAATATAAATTATGAATTAAAGTGAATATTTTATAAAACAATGAAGTATTGTTAATCAAAATAGATCAGAAACAGACTTTAAAGACTGGTATATGAGCCTGATGGCTCTGGGACAAGGGTTAAATATTTGTCCCATTAGAGTAAACACATCATATGTGTTCCTAACTCTTCCACTCATAAACAGCATAAGCATGGTCATGTGAAGGCATCTTGTCCTACCAGGTCTCTCTCATTCATATTTGCAGTGTAAATACAGATGTCAGTGGTATTTCAGTGCCAACATCAACTGAAGGAGGTAAACCAGGGAGTTTTAGTGGTTTGGGCTGAGCTGGAGTCCTACCTTTTCTTCGTGGGGGTGCTTTCAGTCACTTTTTTCTCTTGCTGGTTTGAAGGGGGAGTTCCAGACGGATTTGTTTTCTTGCCCATTAGTGGAACAACTTCGTTGTTATCTTTAATCATGTTCCTGCAGCAGAGAGATTCATGGTTACTTGACTCCTGTTCATTTGAAGGAAGTTTAGTGACCAAATTGCCTATTTATACACAAATAAACACACAAATATTGATTGGGCTTTTTTTAAGTTTTTCATTTTTCACTTGTTAAGCACATGCCATTTCATGTATCAAAGCAGGAGAGTTTTATACTTGACTCATTAAATTTAATTCTAGGAGAAGTACCATTAAAAGTGGCACCAGTAGAACTATAAATTCAAGCCTGTGCCTAAATTAAACTGAAGGGGATCTGTCAATCACAACAACAGTGGATGTTATTCAGAGAAGAAAAGAGCTCAATGACTTTTAGAAGTACCTCTAAAGTTTGTGAATATTTACAGTTAATCTGAGTAGTCTGCTTTGTCCAATACAATTTCAGAAAAGTGGTAAATTCCAGAAAAATTTCAGGAAGGTCAGTGCAACTGATACAATATTCGAAGGAAGGTTCCAGACATGAAGGGTAGTGAACAAAAAATCCCTGAAACTTTTCACTGCATTAGAAGAGCTGAAGAGACTGAATCCAATGCCCAGGTTGAGCTCAGCTAAACCATCACATGCATAATATCCAGAATTTTTTTGTCCTGGTGACATTTCTCAACATTTCTTCAGGAAGAAGAAAAAAAAAAATCATGATTTTACTGGGTGGAAATTGTCACCACCACATGACACAAAAGGATCTTAATGCACATTACCTGTTTCTGAACACCCACAGCATGAATTCTGTAGGTAATAATGAATAACTATCTCCCTGTTTCTCAATCTAACACTCAAGGGCATCATTTTAAATCACCCAGGATAATTTGAAAGCGAGAAGGTGAGTTCAGGATACATTAAAATTCACTGAATGTAAAACCATTACGAGGTCAGGGATGCATTTCCCAGGAAATGAGGGGAGTGCCCTCCATACCCAAGGACAAATGGCAAAAATAATTTGCCTGCAAGTTTGCACAAAATGAACTACACATTTCTTCCCTCCTACTCCACTCTCCTTAATGTGACAAATGTACACACAAAACTTTCTGCTCCTGTCACAGTGCTGTCAACGATTCCTTCCATGATTCCTTCATTATGGGAATATCAAGATACAAAAAGCAGATTGAGGAGTGTGTTTGAAAAGACATGACACCTGGTGTGAGAGAGGAGCCAGAATATCAAATACATTGATATTTGAATAGAGTCTATTAATGCATAAACAACAAATGTTTAATTATGGGAATTTTCAATCCCACATACAGAGAACTGAGAACTTACAGGGTCCAAACACATGTAAGAGCAGCTGTCATTTCTTGGCATTAAATGGAATAGGAATTTCAAATATTGGAAAGGACTCCTTACCTTGCAAAGGTTGGCTTAAGAAACAGGCATGGAAATAAATTTTTATTGTGTTTTCTACCATTGATAGATGTGTTCACACTAGAGCAACTTGGAAACACGCCTAGTTTGGATGCATTTCCTAAGAATTCATATCACAACTTCCATAGAAATAATTTACAAAGAGAAAATATTTTTACTTAGTACACTTGCATACTAAGCACGTTGTAGCTTTCACTGTAAATGCACAAAAGAACTGAACTTGGGTATTACACAGTCAAGGCAGGAGAAAGGTTTTTGTCTGTGCCACTGGAAATGCAATTCACGTAGTCTCTAGACACATGTTGTGTCAGTGAATACACTGATAAACATTTAGTCTTAACACAGCTAAAACAAATGACTGTTGTCTTACTCAGTTCATAAATAATTCTGCTATTTACTTCTTACTAAGTACTTTAAGAATACAAAGCAGTGTACGGGCAAAGACATTTCCCATCTCAAGGAAGAGGCAAACTGGACATAAATCACATATGAGGGGACCAGAATATGATGGAGATGGGTATTAAATAGCTACACTAAATGAGTGACTTTAAAGCAAGAGAATAACTGGAAAGAGACTAAAAATTCCAAAAGTGTGTCAGCAAAAGGAGTTGCCAAATTGAGAGGGGCACAGTTGGGAGGTGAGTGAAGTCAGAGGGGTCAGAGAGAGTGGCAGGAAGAGCTGGAGAAATTAAGACCAAGGTTAAATGTCTAAAGCACACAGTGGCCACAGGGAAGAGCCTCTCCTTTGTGAGCAACGCTGGAGCTGCTCAGACACGGCAACACGTTTCTGCAAGGGCAGCAGCTCAAAGCCTCATCTGCAGCCAGTTTTCACCACAGAGATTTTAGCAGTGGCTCAAGCACAGGCTGCATCATTTAGGAGAGGTGAAAATAGTCAAAGATAGCATTGGAGCTGTACTGGATGATGAAGGGCTGCTGAACCATCAGCAATACAAGAAAACACTCTGGGAAGGAAAAAGATTTTCACTTTTGTATACAGGGACTAAGCTTTCAAAAGCACACAGGACATTTGACTGTAGTCTCAGCCAAAAAGCCTGTTTTAAATGAGATCTCAGCCTGCACAAGTAAATAACTGCAGGCACAACAGCAGAGGTACCTCGTTACAGTGCTGAGGCAGCGTCTGCTTCATTTTTAATCACGATTAATTGTATGCTTACAGGAAAACTAAGCCAGGGTTTTCATCAGCAGCTTCCAGGGCACTATCATTTTCTCTAATCTATGATGTAGAGAAAAATAGTGCAACAGCCTGAAAAGTGTCACATCATGTCACTTATGTAACCTGATATGGAGCGTTGTCTTTTATTGTAAGTATTTTCTACTCCCATTATCAAGTTAATTGTTACTTACAGGCCACCAGGGAAGTGGCTTATTTGAAGTCGGCAGCAAGACAAAACCACTGCACTGATTTATAGTATTGAGAATTACTTTGAAGGGGATCTGAGGACATCGAGGACTTGGTATCTGACCCCCAGCAGAGTATTTATCTGTAATGGTGAATGGGATTCTGCCATTCCTACAGTAAGCAGGTACTTTACACACTATCACAGACTCACCTTGTGCTTGCCTGAGAACAAGAAAAATCATACATACCTATAACTTCACAGCTCAATAACTATAAATGAAGTGGCTAAGCAGAGAATCCTACAAATCAAAAGAAACCCTCAGCTGTGATATTGTGGCACAAAGGTCTCTTCTTCCCTGGGGGCAGAGGAGTGGAAGTGACTGTCAATAGCTGTTCCATTCACAGGATCCTTCCAACAGCCCATGACACTTGCCAGCACCTGCGACCTAATTTCTTACTGGCTCATAAAAAAGAAATTCCCCTCCCCGAGGGGAAAGCTGATAAAACTTCATTTTGACTTTTGTGCATTACTTAAAGCGTTATGAGTCCTATCAGCAGAAAGTTTCACTTGATGAAAAAGAGTTTCATATTTTTGTAAGATTTTTAAACTTTTGAGGGGCATTAGTATGCACTATCAAAAATTCATTTGCTTCTCAGGGAGAAATTTGTTCTTTTCTGTGAAGGTTTTTCCTAACAGAAGTTTTAAAAGACTCTGAAAAGTAATGTTTTTCCCTGAGGAAAAGTGCTTTAAGCTTATTTCTGAATTAAATGAAAAGAAGAAATTTTACTGAGTTGAAATAAAAACTATTCTACCAAGCCTGGGGATTTTACTTTCAACGGTCTCCACAGTAACTGAAACTTTCAGTGGAAGATGAATGTAATAAAGTTTGGCCTGTATGATATTATATTTTGGATCCCCTTGGCACAGGAATTAGGAAGTGCAACAGTGATTTGGGGCTGGCAAAAACAAATGAAATCAGGTCTATCTTTCTTCACTCCTGAATGCCCGAGGAGTCGGCGTGGCACAGCTCAGGGTTTATAAACTAGAAAAACAGAAACAAGCACGACAGAAAAACCTTCTCCATTTGAACAGTTGGTTTTGTGTTTGTCCCTTGAAGATTTCACTCTCTCCAGAAACATCACCTGCCCCAAACACCCACAGAGCTCCCGGAGAACTTACCCTGCTTACGATGCCTCCATTCCGGCGGGGACGAGGAGCCTCGGAACGGCCCAAGGATCAAAGCAGGGCCCTGCTGATGCTGCAACAACATCCAGAGCTCATCTGCCAAAGGAGCAAAACCACGGTCGAGCTCAAAACTATCCTAAAAACGCCAAACCACCCTTCTCCAGTCATCCAGGGTGCTCAGCTGGGGAGCTCAGACAGGGCCAGCGCTGGAGCACCGCGGCCGTACGGGGTTTGCTACGTCTGAAATTAGGGAGCAGAGAGGAACTCGCTAGACAACAAAGCCTTTACCTCACAGCTGCCAAAGCGGGATGACACACACACACACACGCAATAATTATACACTGAAATGTTACTAAAGCTGAGTTGCTCAGGGATGACTTAATGGCAGCAGTAGAATATCTCAAACCATCACTGCTCTGCAGTTTACATACTGTTTTCAAAGGAAAATGGTTATGCACATGCATTTGGGTTGTAAATGACCCCCTTTATGTCATGCTCAGTTTATTATATAGCACGGAACTACTCCAAAGCAGAAATGAGGAAAGGATCCTGCTAAGTGCTCCAGCAAGCAAAAAGATATTGCTATGACTTTGAAAAATTAGAAAAGGCCTTAGACAAATCTTATTTCACAGCAATAATGTCAGTGAAAACATGGTAGGCGTGTTTAGATCTTTCCCCACCTATAATAGTTTCCAATGAATGTGTACCCAGAGGGGCTGTGGGAACACAAACAGTTGGGTTTCACATAAACAGTCCTGGTGTTACTTTGTGCTGCATGTCTCAGCTTTGCTAATTCTGAGCTGTTGAGCAATGGGTGATGCAGAATTCTGTTCTGGAACATGCCAGAAGAGTGACCATAAGTTCTTCTGCTCTTTTTATAGAGTTCCTCCTTTATCACCAGAAATAGTACGTTAAAAACTTGTGTGTCTTTGCCTGTGAGACCTGCAAGGTGCAATTACAGCTGATGGTTTTTACTTGATTATTAGATGAGAGTTTAAGGTGAACCATGCAGGCAGCAGAACAGGAATCTTTGCCCAGCTGTAGCCAAGGGAAGAAAGAGCCAAGTTTTTGTGGGGTTTTGGTGGCTTTTTTTTTTTTTTTTTTTTGTAGGAAGTAGATCAAAAATTTGGAAGTAAAACCAAAATATCTTAGGATACTATGACCTAGATCCAGGCATTTTAATGCAAAGAATATGGCTTTAAAATATACTTACAAACTGCAGCTAAACTTTTCCTGTGAAGTAGATATCTTTAAAAACAGGACTGCTGGGTATTCCATTTGCCTCAGATCTCACTGTGTGAAATGCCAGGAGCACTGTACTGTTCCCTGTAATGAACCAGCTTCCCAGGAGCTGTGTGGGGAAACAGGCCCAGGCTGGTTGGATTTGGCATCAGGGATCCCTTTGGTTGGAAGTGCTGAGCACACATCCAGCTTTGCCCAACACAAATTTGTGGTGATATATTCCAAACCCTGTACCAGGAGATATTGTTCACATCTTGTCAAATGACTGTGCCCGAGTTAACATGTGACAACCCAGAGTCAGCTGCTTTGATGGTCTCTTACCTGCTGGTGTAATGACCTGGAAAAGGGGCTGAATCCTGCCATTTCATCCTGCCTGGGAGAGCAGCAGCTCAGTTCTCAACACAAAATGTGAGAAACTGTTTAATTGAAGTCGCTCTGAGGATAGAAATGTGAAAAGAGGCAAAGCTACATTAAATCTGGGTGAAGGTGCATTTGAGGACTGTTGCTTTACCTCTGGCATCAACCACAGCGACAGAAATTCTTCTGCTAAGGAGAGAAAATGGGTTTGGCAGCAAGCAGGACTTTGAACTCAGAAAGCAGCTATATCTGAAAGCACCCAGATCTGCGTGGTTTAGCAGAATATAGGCCCTAGCAGTGTGGTCTATTTATAATGTAGTGGCAGTTATCCAAAGAGAAAAACTGGGACAAGCTACAGCAAGAGAGGCAGAGCCCTGCTCCAAACCTGCCTGTGGAGAGGTGCAGAAGATTGTGTGAGCTGTTGACAGTTCACACACACAGGTTACACTCCATCCTGCCTGCTCTGTTGTATTACAAGGACAGCCTTGACTCACTGAACCTGAGTGTGGCCTTCCCTGTGCAAGTGTGAGATTTAGGGAACTGCAGCCCAGACTGCTTGGAGCTGATCTGCCTGAAAACACACAAGGACATCCCGTGCCACCCATAGGATGGCCTGAACTGAGCTATTTTTAAGGACAGGCTTAAGAGCCAGGAAATGAGAGGCAGAAGTACAGTAAGTCACACTCGTGCAAACATTTTCTTACAGTTTTAATCATTAACCTGCTCAACCTTTATGTTCCCAGACCTGCTCCACCCTGAGGTTTCTGACAAGGCCAGCATTTTTCAGAAGCCATGGAGGGTTTTGCAATAGGCTCTATCATGACTATGTAGATCATTTTATAGAGCTTTACAGCACTCACCAGCTGCTCCAGCTACTAAAGAGATGCCATAAGGGTCAGGAATGTAAATAACATGCATCCCTTACTAAAAATTACTTGAAAACATTAGCATTGGATAGCCTGTGCAGAACAAATAAGCAGCAGAAGTCCTATCTGGCATTATTTTGTTTTCCTAGCAAGTGCTAGACTCACTAGAAACCAAAAATGAACAAGATGAAGGAAACCCCAGATGGGAGGGATTGAGCATTTGGAGTTCTGCCATCTGACATCAGCAAGTCAGCTGCATTTGTTCCTCTGCTGATACATGACATGATCCCAGTCAAACCCACATTAAAAGTTATTCAGATTTTGTATTTAATTCTGTGATTTTCAGTACCCTAACTGGTAGTCACTAAGGGGAAGAGCCATTATCTGAAAGCATTTTTAACATTAGGTAACAGCAAGAATAATTGTAAATTACTTACTGTCATCATTCCATTCCCCACTCCTTAAAAATAATCCACAATTTAAGTATTAAAACACTGAGCACTCCAAGTAGTAGTAGCAGCCCAATTCCACCGAGCATAGTATTTAATTGATTTACAGGAATCTCTCATGATTTTTCACCATGGAAAAAGTGCATTTAAATTCTCTGAAAAAGGATTCAAAGTTGTTGATCTGTTGTGGGAAGAATCCACAAGACATCCCACAGAGACTATGGTTTTAAAAGAAGGTGTATGTCTTCAATGCTAGCAGTATAGTTTATGTTGAAAAGCCACATGAAGATTTACCTGGGAAGTTAAACTTGTTCTGGGATCATATCTGTGCTGCTACACACATGTACAAAGAGCTTTCACACCACTCCAGGCAACTGAGTAGCACTCGCAATTATTTAAATAATATGTTTATAAACTGTGAGATAAGAGGTTGTTTTATGCAGCTGAGCAACAGAGAGAAATGAATTAGCCTGTAAGTGTGTGTGACTACCACCTAACAGCCTTGTGGAAAATCATTCCAGGAAAATACTGGGGTATCACTTACCAGTTGGTGCAGTCTGGACTGCAGGGACAAGTCAGCCTCTTTAGCAATGTTGTTATGCATATTTGCATGACATACATGCCTGGAGATTTTATCCCCCAGGATTCTTGCCATAAAAGAACAGTCCCATTCACAGAAAGAAAGAGAAAAGTTACTGAAGCCTCCAGTACAACTATGTCACTATGCAGTTTCTTCTTTTGCCTGGGCAAAAAACCAAAGGTGGAGGAGTCCAAAGAAACAGCATTATTATTGGGACTGCGATAATTATCCAATAGTTAGACATCCTAAGTAATTCCTATTCCTCTAAACTCTGCTTCCTGGGCCCAATTCAAGCAGCTCTCCAGCTGCAGTGCTGCTGCTGCCCTGAGACTCCTTCCTGCTCATCACAATGAGTAGCCCATGACACTCCTCAGTCTGTCTCTGCTCTTTTCTTCCTTCTGAATAGCTGAGCTTGGGAACATGAACATTTATATTCTGCATTTGAGTAGTGCCCTGCTGAACCATGGCCAGGGCTCCCGGAGACTATGCTAATGTAAGCACTAAGAATAACAGAGCAGAGATGAACCCAATCCTGTATCTCAGCTTCCACCCACCCCACCCTTGCCAAAGAAAGAAAGCTGCCTCCCTCCCTCCCTCCCTTATTATACCCTCTCTCCACCTGGTAGTGTGATCACTTCCACCTGAATCTCTCTAATTCCCACACCTCTGGCCAATTCCCTATGCAGGGATAGATTAAATATGGAGTAAGTTGAAAAAAGTGCAGTAAAAATCTGCTTTTTGCAAGTGGCATCACTATTTGACTTCAGGTCATAGTTATCCCTTGTCTTGGTTAAGTTACATGAGATAAGCACAAGATAATAACAAACAATGGGGAGAACAGATCTGTAACTCTTTTCCTGTGTCTTTTCCTGCATTTGTGCTTTTGTTAAGTGTCCCCTGCCACTCCTAAGGCAAAAAGTAACAGAACAAACCTACAAAGCCCTTTGCCAGTCCTCACTGTACACACCCCACAGATGTGTGAGGTGGTGGGTGCTTCTTGTCCCTGTCCTGTGAGCGTGTCCTTGCTGCTGGTGCTGTGGGCCACAGTCACTGGGAGAGGCTCAGACAAGCATGAAACCTTTGGAGGAAAAAATAAAACCAGTTTTAAGACCGTGAGATGGCACTTTTTACTTCCATTGGCTCTCAGTTCACAGTCACCCAGGAGGGAGACAAGTCTCCCGTGCGACACATCACACTTCAGAGAGGCCTCCCAGAGCACAACCTTCAACCTTCTCTTGGCTGCTGAGCCTCACATTCCCAGCTAGGTCATGGTCATTCTCCAACTATTTCAGCTGAGCTTGTACCCTCAGTAAATCTTCAGTTGTGGTGCAGAGTTTCTGGTAAGGCTGAGCAGTGCAGGGGAATTAAGCAACATGAAAATGCCTGAGGGAACACACCGTGAAGAAAGCGTTGGCCCCACCTATACACTACATTTTTCTGCTCAAGTTTGTACTGCCACTGTTTGACTCAAGCAGTTTTTGGAGGGTGATCACCACAGCTGGGGAGGAACTTGCATGTCATAATAATTTTGGGTTGAACTAATAGTTTAGTCATTTGATTAGGAACATTAAATCTCCTCTTTTAAAAGGAAAATATTTTTATCTGTCTCATCCATCTAAATCTGGGGAATAGTTCACTCCCCTTCCCCCTCCAAAAATCCATTTAGACCCATAAAAAATGTGAGTGGAACAAAAATTCACCCACTCTCACATCTTAAACTGAAAACCAAACTTTGCATTCACTGTAGCAGCATATGAGATGCTCACTAACTATAACAAAATTAAATCCCTGCAGGCCCCTTCCACCTTTTGTCAAGTTATTTCTGGAAATTAAGGGAAGCAGAACTGAAGGTGAACATCTACCAATTGACATAAACCCTCAGTTACTTTGTTTCCCCAAAACAAGATCTAAAACCTGCAGGTCCCCCATTCCTGCAATCAGGATGGCACTGGATTATCTGCTTCTGTGGGCTGATATTTGAAACTTCTCGTGATTCCAAAGGGAGTTCTTTGGGCAGACACACACTGTATGTGCCCCACAGGAAGACCATCTTTTCAGGATACATTTTCCCTGTCTCTATTTCAACCCATTATTCTAATTAAAACCTCTTTTATTATGCAAATCATCTTCTCTCTTTGTCAGTGCTTCAACTTTCAGTTATTCAGGGCTTATTTCAGAAATAGCTGTTTCCATGTGCCCTTGCAAATCCTCCTCTTGAGAAATCTTTACCTGTTTCCAGCCCTAAACTCAGCTCTCCTGTATCTTTCCAGTAATGAGGGACATGTTCTTCCTTGTGTCTTCCTCTTTGCCAATTAAACACTCCTGGCTTTCCCCCTCTGACTCACAGGAACTGGGGACAGGATCCCTCTTCTCTATGTGGTTCATTATCCGCATTCTCCTCTGGAATAAGAGGAATGTCTGGGATAATCCTACTATGTCAGCTTTGAAAGAAATGACTTAGACTTAGTGACATGCTCTTACAGGCCAAGTGAGTAGGACACTTCCTTTAGTTCCTGTAATCTGGAGTTGCTCTCACCAGCTGACACGGCAATTCCAGGGGACACGAGTTTTCAAACCAACATTCAGGTGACTAAAATGTTGATTTTAGAGGCTGATTAGAGCCATGACTGAGAAATCCTGCTCTGGATGATGATGAAGTCTGAAAACCTCCGTGATTCTGGAAATGTTGGCGTCTCCTGGAGCCCACTCATTCCCTGCACACTGAAACGGGAAGTGTTACTAATGGTGATGTAGCTCAGCCACAGCATCACCAACATGCCAGGAAGAGAGAAATCCAGTGAGATCAGTTGGTTGATTTCTCCTCCTTCCCAGAGAAATAGGTGCCCTCCACCACGTATTTTGAAGATTAGCATCAGATGTAGGAGGAATCGGGTCCATATTTTCTCTGTGGAAACTATTCCAGAGTCAGAAGTCATCCCAGTGTGCATGGTGTGGGTGATGGAAAGCACTTCAGAGCCCTATAACCACATCAAGAAGACCCAGGATGTCTATGCTGCATCTGGCAGCGTCAATTAAAACCCCTTCCTCCCAAGCCCTGGTAAATCCATGCCTGTGCCTAATGGAGCAGACATGTAAGAAGCACCTTTCACTGCAGGAGGATTCTCTCTAACATGTGCAAACTGGTGTTAAACATCCAGGACACTGCCTGATCATCAGCATATCGGGCATTTTTAATGTACCGGGAATTTTTCTGAATTTGGAAAATCTACCACAACAGCTTGTCGGAAAACACTGTATAAAAATCCTATTTATGGGATTCTGAAAACTTGAAGCATCAGAACCTGAGTCCACTAGCTCTATCCCTTAAAGCCATGGGGTTGGTAGGATCCCCTGTGTTTTGTAGCACAGCAGCACTTGCTGGGCATACACACCTTGTGGATTTTTGAGTACTGGGGGCTCCAGCAAAGATGCAGGACTGAGTAATGTGCCAGTGTCATACAGATGCCTCAGAAGAGTGGCAGAATTAGCTGGCATTTAGCAAAAATAAATATAATTCTGCATAATTAATATGATCAGAGACAGCAGAGCAAGACAGTGGCATCAGAGGGAGAGGGGCTGTCCCGGGGCCAGTTAGTTCTGGGGTGCCCCAGAGGGACCAGCAGCAGCCCTAAATATGGCTTGGGGGCCCTCTTGTGGGCCCTGCTCTGCCGTGGACCCCACTAAAAACAGCTCTGAGAAGTGATTAACGTGAATGCTTAATTAGCACGAGGGCTATTCACACTCCAGCTGCCGCTGCAGCTGTGGCAGAGGGCACAAGTGCACACGAACAGGCCATGTGGCTCCAAGTTCTTCAGTCAGAATGTACGTTTTTCTTAACTAACTCAGAAATCATTGGAGTTTGAAAGGCACAACCATTCAGTTTTCATGGCTGACAAGAGCAGTTGCATCTCAGATATGGCAATGCTGTAAATACTGAGATCATGTCTTTGGTTTCCCATGGGTTCATCAGTCCATTCTCACCTCACAGCACAGGGCAGCCCAGCTCAGCTCTCTTGCTGTCTCCATCCCACACACATTTGCAGCCACTGCTAATTACAGCTGTCACCCACAGACAGGAGGTGAGCACATCAACACCCTCATTTCTTTGGCTTTTGTGCTCATGTGGTTATTGGGAACTGGTGGTTATATACAGTTGTTCAACCTGATCATCTCATATTAAGCACTTAGTGTGGACACAAATTAATGTGACTAATAACTGTGAGAGGACAGATTTTTACCACCTGCAAGCCCCAAAGAACAGCATGGGAACCATGTGCTGTTTCTAAACATGCTCAGTGGGAAATAACTATGCAAACTACAAACTAAAGAACTCCCCAAGGGCTCAAGATTCTGCAAGATATCTTGCAAAATATGTCTGCCAAGCTGAGCAAAACCTCCATAAAAGAACCCAAGTAAAGATAATTTGTTACAAGGCCATTCTCCTCCTCAGTGTAGCTGTTTACAAGTGGGAACAGAAAGGTGCTGGTCCTGGTAAAGGTATTTTTAAAGGACAAACACTTCCTGACAAGTGACCTCTCTTCCCCTGGGGTTAGTTGGAGCCCTCCAGCATGAGAGTCTGTCCCTTCAGAGCAAGTGTGTCCCCTCCAGGCGTCCCACCCTGTCTGCCTGAACAGACCCACCTTCATCTCCAAAGGTAATTCCCTGTGCTGAGGTGAAATGAAAATGAAGGAAGTAAACTGGCAAACAGAGCCCTGGCTGAGTCTGAATAAACGTGTGCAACAATGGGTTGGAGTCACTGCCAAGCTCTACTTCCCCATCTGTGGGAAACAAATTTCTGCCCACTGCAGGAACTGAGGATGGTATAGCTGGAAATTCTGAGAGGTTGGTAATAACTCCCTCTGGAGAAATGGGATAATTTTGTTTGCTTCCCAGGCAAGACTAAGGGATTTTAAAAATGTAACCAAAAACCCCACCAGCACCACCCTATCCCACAAGTATAGGGCATTTACATTCTTAACCACAGCACTATACTGATGCATGTTTTCAGCCTGAATTCTGGCATTTCTGGTTTTTATTAAGAAGTCTGCAATTAGTAACTTTGTTGGAGCAGGAAGGCAGAGGTGTATAATCTGTTCAGGTTACCCAGGGCAGCTGATCAATCCTTCTGTATAGGCACTAGCTGTAAATCAAGGTGGAATTTAAGCAATGGATTAGGCCTCTGCTCAGGCTGATAATTATGAGAAATGGATCCCTCCCAGGGAAAACAAATTTCCTGAATGCTTTCCAGCTATATTATGATCCTGGTGTCCCTCCAAGCATAAATTTGGCCTGGAACACAAAGGCATGGAGACAATCAACGATGTTTTGCTAGTCAGCCCCTTTCTACATTTATTCTAAATAGTTTTAATAATAAATTGTTACACTCTCTCAGCTTGTCTTGCCTATTTGGCTGTGCTTGGTTTACATGTGGATTGTCTCTTGCCATGTTTAGCATGGAGTATAACGAAGCCTTTAGTGGAACTTAGAGAGACTGCTACCAAGTGTTTAGAGATACACCTTTGATATTGAAATTGGTGTGGAATTAAACACACTGCTTTAAACATCCTTTGTGGTTTCCCTGTCCACCAGAGGCATTAAATTCTGATTATTTCCGGTTTAAATTCTGATTTTTTTCAAGCATTTTTTTCAAATCCTTTGGCAAGTTTCTCTGCTTCTACCCTACAAACTCTGTGAAAATAGAACTACATTTGTCCTGAATGATGCTAACCAAAGAAACAAGAATTACTAGTCCTCTAGATGGTGCTACTATTTCAAATAAAGCAGCTGGATGTTTGAAGATTTTGTTCAAATATAGTGCTGTAGTGCCCCATGAGAAAGGAACAGGGTGAGAAACCCTGACCCCAGAAAGAGAAGTGATGGCACACAACCCAAAACTGCATCTCACAGTTGTAGCAGCAAAGGGCAACCTATGTGTAAATACACTGATTGCTTCTCTTTAAGAATGTTTCAGTATCTGAAAATGCAGAAAAATTACAGGCTGTATTGATGAAAACTGTGTTTCAAAGGTTGGCTCCATTTTCCATGGCTTTGATTTCCAGGTTTCCCAATGATTTCCACGGGGCCCCTCCAGTGTGTCATATTCCAACTGCAGTGACTCAGGTGAGTGTTCCCAGAGCACAGTGGGTGTGTCACAGCCCAGCACCACGGGCTCGCCCTGGCACAGGCTGGGTGTGCTCTGGCCTGGTTTCACAGCAGCACTTGAGCACAACTGTTCTTCAGATGCAGCCACAGGAACGACTGAAACCCACAATCAAACACCCTGATGACTTAAGGATACTTGTATGTGCACACTGACATGGGCAGTAAAGACTGTGAACTCTTAAGTGCTTTAGTGATGCAAGGAAAGAAAGCAAAACAATTTACCTTACACTCTCCTCTCTTTCCAGAGCTCCCATCTGTAGTTTTAGAACATCTGCCTATTTTCTCTCTCAGATAGTTTTCCTGATTCTCTTTGTAAATCCAGCCAGATGGATTTGCAGCACCAGATTTCTTTCCCCCTGTGGTTGCTGTCAAAGTCAAGAACAAAAACTTTCTGATTTCAAGATTATTATTGTTGTACATTATTATACATCTGACCTTTGAAACATATATTCTGTATCACCACTATCTCTTACTTTGTGCAAAGTTCATCTGTTATCTAAATAAATGTCAAATTTGGGATCTTGTTAAGCCTTCAGCCTCAGTAAAAATAACTGTGAATTTCTGGAGTTTACTCAGACAGTGTAAGAGAAACATTTATTTCATCGGTTTTGACTATTCAACCTTTAAAATCTCACAGAGTGTATTTGTTCTTGTGTTATGAGAAAAGAATAACATCTCTAGATCATTCATTATTTTGTATTCTTTTCCTGTCCCATTTATTTATCTGCTTTCCAAGAAACTTTTCTCACAGGAACATATCTATGGTGATTTTCACTGCTCTTTTATGAGTCCATCTCCAGTGTCATAATAGTTTGGTTGGTTGGGTTTTGAGGCAACAAAGCCACAAAATCAGGGTGTATGGCAGCTCATAAAAATACTTCTTAAAAGAAAGAGACTAAAAGCAGACAGAAGGTTATGCTAAAAATAACCATGAAGACATGAGCTTAAACAACAAGTATTTTATTTAGCATACTTAGTGAATCCTTGCACACAGTAACTTCCTAAGTCCTCTGGCCTTTTTCCAGCAGGGCCAACACAGACAACTAGAATGAAACTTCTTCCTAAAAATAAAGCAAGATTAGACTGACTTTGGAAGTGACTCCTTCAACACCTCAGAATCTTCTGGCTCATAATAAGGTTCCAAAACAGGTTTTAATTTGACTTCCTCTGGTAGCTTGTGAGTATCTTCTCTCCTGCTTCCATCTCTTAAAAGCGGAACCAATGTTTTCCAGTGTTTCCCTGAAACTACAAAGGAAAGGAATGGTTAATTTTCCCCCCTCCACAGAATCAGAAAATATCCAAGTGGTTTAAAAAGGAAGCTGATGAAAGAAGAAGAAAGAAGCAGGAAGAAAGGGCTTTGTGGTTTTCTTGCCCATACTGTTGCATGAGTTTTCCATATTTCAGCTGGCAAGTACAGCAGAGACTGATTGCACAGTTAAATACTTCTGTGCTGGGGGCTGAGCTCCCAAACTGTAGGGCTTGGGGCCTCCAAAAGCCTCCTCCTGGCTATCTGGTTGCCATCATACACTGCTCCATCTCCTCAGGATTTACATGTTATCTGTCTTGTAAAATCTTCATTCAGGATGACAGATCTATGGGGGTTTTATTCCCAAGAGTCAAACTGCTGTGAGTGATGAGCCCACTTCATCCTTCGCATTTTGTGCTGATGGGAAATGACATAAACTTAGTTACTGAATTATCAGTAAGTGCATAACACTGAGTGCCCTCTAACAATTAATCCGTGGTGCTACTGTCCCCAGTGTGTAGCCCATACTAGGATTTAGGTCACTGAAGCCCTCACCTCTGCCAGGTTTAATAGAGAAACTGAGATTCCGTCTGAGGTCCCCAGAGTACCCGGGATCTTCGTTGATTATGCCCAGATTCGTATTCCATGTGGACCAGTTCACTTCATCAACCCTGGGGAGAGAACAACAAACCCAATATCTATTCTAAGCATCACCAGACAACTCCAGGATGAGTTTTTATCACAAACTGCCACCTCTCAAGCCTCAGATCTGACCTAAAAATCAGATTAAACTGACTACTGTGGACAGTATTAGTGAGCTACTTTTCAGAGTGCTCCAGGGGGAAAGTTCTGCTTCCTACCACCAGATGCCTTAATGTTGTTTGTCTACAAAAGATTGTTCGTTTGACACACAAACGGGTTACCTAAAGCACCATCTGTAATCATCTTGGCCATCAGGTGTGATCCCCACCAAGACTTGCTTCCCGGACCGGAATGAGCCCTTCAAACAGTTCAAGTAGCTGTTTTCGATATCCAAGATTGTGATGGCTCTCTGCCAGGTAAGAGAAAGCAGAGCACTGAGAGGCTGCTGGTCAAAGTCATACAAATCCTGAATACTGCCTTTATTTTATAAACCTTCCGTATTTATCATTGTCATAATCTTAGAGCAGTCACTGCAACCACCTCTGAAATCTCACCGTCTGTTAATGTCATTAAAAATGCTCAATTACTGCCCTGTGATTAGAACTATGAAGTTCCCTTTCTTACCTCAAACAAAAACTGATGTGCCTTTGAGAGTCTAGTAAAGATTGCTTTTCCCCTTGCATAATCCCTGGCTCCATAGTCTGATCAGGATTTTCCATCATCAAAAGCCCAAATAATTTTGTCTAATTACAAAAGCACTTCTTTTCTTAAATTCTGAACATCTGTGGAACACTGGGAACATCTGCTCAGGCAAAACATCAAATATACACGGAAAAGGAACTAATATACTTTTTCCAGGAGTTGTTCAGGGGAATCAGAAAGAAGCAGTGACCTGTTATTTAGAAAGATGTCGGTTCCTAAAGATTCTCTCTGAAATTTCTGATGATTCCCCACACCCTCTTTCTTGGATAGCAGCCTCCCAGAACCAACATACCTGGAGCTTCCAGATGCTCTTGCTCTCCTGTGCAATTTTGTTCACGGTTTCCCCCATCAGCGCAATGAGCATGTTGAGCAGGAGGATGTACGTGAGGATGACATAGAGAACCAAGAGGATGACAAAGACAGACTTGAACCTGTAGTTCTCTGTGAACTCCAGGTCCCCCATCCCAATAGTGAACTTGAAAAGCTCCAGGCAGGTGTAATACAGGCTGTTGTAGGACGTGCGGCCTCGTCTCACATGGCAGCAGCGGGAATAGTCAGAGGTATTTGTCTCTTGCCCCTCATTGTCATCCTCAATTAAAGTCACCACAGCTGTTGCAAAAGAAGAATCACATAGGCAGGATGAAAATACAATTTGGGATCATAATTCCTTTGCAAGCAATGAAACGAATATAAAGGTAAAGCATGTTATCCTCATGGTACATTGACTCCAGGGAAATTGCCCTGTAAATATTCCCTCTAACTGACACCTCTCAGAAGGTGTTGCCTCAGCTTTCTCTACACAGAACAGGATGACTGAATGTTTTTCCATCAGTTTTGGAAAGCAGTTTGAGACCCAGGGATGAAAAGCTGCATGAAACTACTACAGATAATTGTTATTCTGAAGAGATATTTTTTGTAATTAGGCTAATTTTTTAGGTTTTAGTTGGAAACAAAAAGTCTAAGCAACTTGAAAAATAACATTTTCCAAGACTCTCTAAAGTAACACAAAGTAACTCCAATCAGAAAATTACCTGTAGAAAATCCCAAGAGGAACACTAGATAGACAAACATGAAGCGACACAGATCTCTAAGGATCATCTGCAACATGAAAACAGAGTATTTTTATATTGCTAAAACTTGAATATAAACTGCACCAAAAATGGGTAGAAAATCCTGCTTCAGCTCAAGAAGGCATTTGCATGAACTGGCTGTTCATGCATTAAACTGTTGTTTATCCTGCTGAGATGATAAACTTTAATACAGAAAACATTTTTCTCTGTTATTCATGCAACAGTTTACACACATATGCAACACATATGCCTGTCAAATAGTTTCCTCTTTGCGAGTATAAACCACATTAAGACAGTTGAAGCTTTCTTCCCCTCTTGGACTGGCTGTCTACACCATACAGAGAGGTTTATTAGCCAGCTAGTTAATTAGCCAGTCTCTTAGTTAATTGCTCTGTTTGGTCACATTTGAACTATGCCTAAAGAAATTTCCAGCTGGTAGAAAGCTGGGCCATTTCACACCAGAGCAGTCTGCACTGTTCTCAGTCTCCTTTCATCCATGCTTGTCCAATCATAGTTATTTTGAAGCATGGCAGGTAATAAAAATCATCATCATCATATCAAGGCTGCTATAAAATGTATGGATGAGGAGCAGGGGGTTTTTCTACATCACTTAAATTTTATCAGTAGACAACAGCAAAGTTTAGCAGAGTGTTATGAGCTTTCCCAGTGGCATCATGGAGGCAGATATGGCAACATGTCTCCTGGAAATGGGGCTGTTGGCAGCAGTGTCCCACTCTGGGCACACCTGCTCCCTGCACTGACCTTGGCAATCATGACAGAGTAAATGCCCATCTGCTGGAAGCCCCGGGTGTAGTAGAGCATGTTGGCCCAGCCCAGTGCCAAGGAGAACACCATGGAAGCCACGTAGAGTTCCTGGCCACAGAAGTACAGCACCACAGAGCTCAGGAGGAGCAAGGAGTGAACAAAGCTGAAAGACAAGCATGGTCTGAATGCAGAGGGCTGAGCTGGCCACAGGTGGTGGGAACAGAGGAGCCCCATGGGGTGTACAGCAGAATGAGGGATTCCCCCTGTTTAGTGCACTCCAGTTGGGAAGAGAAAGGACCTAAACATTCAGAGGCAAAGCTCCCTTTAGCAGTGGGAGGATTTCTGCACATTCAGTGTGTAAGTCCAGCTTGGAGATCTATTCCTAACTCTCCTGCATGACAGTCACTGAACATCTAGACACTTAATTTGCCTTACCTCCAAAGGAGGTCACTGCCCCAGACCCATCTGTTCAGTGATATCCACTGGCTACTCTGTTGTAAAGACCCAGGAAATTATAGCAAAGCATCTACCTATTACAGGTGGCTTCAGCCAGAACTACAGATCTCACACACTCATCTGTTTCTGGCTGAGATGCAACCAAAGATATTGGAGCTTACAAAAGAACCTCACTGTAGCCATCAATGATCAGCGTCTTGAGTGACGGGCGCCTCTGCACGAAATATTGTATCTGGAAAGAAAAGGGAACCAAGACCAGGTTTGCATCAAGAAGGAATTAACTATCACCTGTGAATACATCAACTGAGCCCTGAGCCCTGTACCAAGGAGCTGGTACCTATTAAAATCACAAGAACAGCTGGAAAACAGCACTGGCACAATATCTCAGGAGGATTCTTCCAGCAACACTTGAATTCTCTCACATCTGGTGTCTCTTTTGAAGACAACAACCTATTCAGTCACTGTTCGAGGACCTGGGATTCACTGCACCCTTTCCATCGGCTGCCAAAGGGAAGCTGGGGGACTTTAGGCTAAGCCAGGTAACCTTTAGTGGAGGGCTGGCTGTTTGCAATACCCCACCCTTAAGCTTTGGCAAGGCTAATTGCCAAGATGCTCGTTGCCTTCTAAGGAGAACCTTTTTTTATAAATAGATAAAAATATATCTTAGCTCATTAGTAAAGTGAGAACTCCTAATCAGGCCTAAGAAAAAGATCTGTCGCTCTTGACTAAAACATGGATCGTTTTAGCAGCCAATGCTAATGAATAGGAAAAGTCTGTTTGACTCTCTCCTACATCTACCCAAACAGCAAAAGGGAAAATTTCAAATATCTTACCCCTCTGAAAAAAAAATAGAGGCCTCCCAGAACGCTCAGGATCTCTCCAGTCACTCGAAAATACTCCCCAGTGGTGTAACCAAAGGTGAAGGGAGGCTGTATAAGACAGGAAGATGTTCAGCAGAACTGGAGACAGGAAAGACCTGGCCTTGCCAGCAGCCTAAAGCAACTACATTGTGGGGGGCAACAGGTTAAGTTTCTGAATGTGCTGCAGCAAGACTGGGAATCAAGCAGGGTCAAAATCTCCCTCCTCCCTTCAGGAAATTTCTGATGTTAGGAGCACGCATTGAAATGGGAGGCAGATCTGGGGTGTCATGCACTGGGTGGCTCCCCTGACACATGCCAGTGACATACCTTTTGGTCCTTCTGTACAGGTCTGTAGTAAGCAGCTGCAGTGAGGATGCTGATGTGCAAGGTATAGACAAAGAAGTTGAAGTAAAACAAGTGTTTGACAAACCGGTCCCACTTGTCTTGCAGGAGCCTGTTAAGGGGCTCCACCAGCAGCATCTCGTGCCGGTTCTGAGCAGAAGGAGAAAGAGGAGAGTCTTGCTGGGACCAGTATGTACCAGACTTTGAAAGAAAAACAAATTATATTCATCTTCAGCAAATGTTCCCTCTCGTTCCCTTAAACTCAGGAGGGGAGATTGTTCTTTTATGGAAAGGAGGCAGAAGGTGCACTGTGTGGAACATGAAGCTCTTCCCCAGCAGTCCCCCAGCCTGGGAATAAAATGCAAAGGAGGTGCAATACTCACTGGTGTCTCACTGCTGTAGGCAAGAATCTCCAGCACTGAATTTTTCTCACATGTGTCTATACAGGACAGGTCATAAAGAGAGGAGTGGACAGGTCCATATGCCCATTCAGTGAACTTCCTGGACAGGTGTCTGCACTCGGGATCTTTGATCTCTCGTCTGAGGATGTAAGCGAAAATCTAATTGCAAAAGAACAATACAACCAACATGTCAGTGCTAATGGACTTCTTGTCCATCTCCACATGAAAGGATGGGTAATTTCTCCCTAGTTTAACTGAGCTGAGGCCAAACCACTGGAGCACTGCATTCTCAAGGAAACACAATTAATTTTCTTACTGGATGCTGGGAGATGAGAAATATAAATACCTCTTACAGCGTGGCATTATCTGTTTCAAAACTGCAAGAGAAAAGCAGAGGTGTGTGTTACACCTCTCTGAGCACACAGTCACTTTGAATGGGGACTGCCAGAAGATGAGTTATATCAGCAGTCAAAAGTACAAGGGCTCCAGTGGTTTCCTCTTGGGCTGCCAGGGGTGTATGAATAACACCAGCTGGGCACATACACACACACACATTTCATGGCCTTTAAGGGCTCTGCAGGTTTGCATGTTAAACTGCAGCCTCAGTTTCTATTAACTAAAAGGCCCCAATAATAAAGTTACAAACCTCATCTTGCATAAATGTTTTACATGTGCTCTCTATAACTTGATACAATAACAGGACAGTTAAACACCTTGTCTCACCTACCCCTATCTTCCCTGTTTTGGCTGCCAGGGTTAATGGAGTCAGCCCTTTCTTGTTGGTGAGCTCTTCCAGCTTCAGGATTGGATTAATTTTGGCACCAAGGATCAATATGTTATTGTACATCTTGGTTACAAACTTGGTGTTATCCTTAGTGTTATCTGCAATCTCCACCAGGGTGTGCAGGACCATGTTGCCCATGGAGTCCTCAGCAGCAATGTCAGCTGCCTGGTAGGGATTCTCCAGCAGGAATTTCACAATGCAGAGCTGGTTGGTGCAGGCAGCCAGGGACAAGGGCAGCTCCCCTACAGGAAGCAAAGGGAAGGAGTGGTCAGAAAATATGAAGTTCATGTTGTTTTCATCTTGCACTAAGAAGAGGTGGATTCCTCTGACACAGCACCAATTCTTGTGATAGCTGTTAGAATCAGATTTTCTTTGGTTTTAACTGCATGACAGAAACAGCTGCTTAAAAAAAGCACTGACAGGACAGGAGCAGAAAGTCCAACCTTTCAAAGGATACAGTGTTCAGAGAACACCAAGCTCACACTGAACGCCATCAACTACCAACTGTGTTTGTTTACAAGCTCAGTTTATGAGCTCAGGAGTAAATATTTGTCCTGATGGTGGAACAACCCATCTGGCATCTGAGCCTCCAGTCCCACATAAACAGGATTATTTAACAGCTTGCACTTGGGGTGATGCTAGGATAACTCAATCAATAAAGTCCATACTGAGCTCACTCCTACCAAAATAAAAGCCAGATTTCCCTTTGATTTTCCTGAAGAACTCCCCACAGGCTCGTGCATGAACATCTGCTCCATTCTGGACCAAGAGCTTCACCAGGTACATGTTCCTTCTCTCGATGGCAATGTGAAGAGCAGTCTGGCCTACAGAGACACCCATCAGACAGAAATCTTTAGCACTTAGTACACACTGAGAGCTTTCAGCACTGCAATTCACTCAGCTCCATGTCAGATGGTGGAACTGAGAGCTTTGCAGGTTAAAAAGTTCTAGAACTGAACAGAAAAAAACCCACACAAACAGCAAATGGACATTCCCTGAACTTGCTATTAAATCACTGTATATCAAAAACGGCAGAATATTGCACAGAACACACTCCCAGCACAAATGCACAGATTGTTAATCACACACTGGAACTTTGGGCAGGCATAAGGCCTCATGCAGGAGACTCAGTCTTAGCACCATGAGGATTCCCTGGAGCAGCCATTTCTCTTACCCTTGTAGTAGTTGTCAGTATATTCTGCATTAACAAACTCTTTCAGAGTTCCAGTTTTCCTTGCAATATCCAGCAGCAAGGGAATGGTATCATTTTTCCCATCGTGCAGGTTCAGCATGGCTTTCAGTAAACAGGTTTTCCCAGTTTCAGGCTCTATAACACAAAACATTAAAGGTGTATTGAAGTTATTACAGACCCACCATCTATACCCAGGCAAGCAGGAATTAATGAGGTGCTTTTCAAAAGACAAGGAAACTCATTTAGGCTTTTCACAAAAAATTTCAGCTCCTGTAACCTTACAATCAATGGGTTGCCCAATCAATAGGGCAGTAGTGGCTATTAAAGGACCTCCTGCAGTCACATAACATAATTATCTTTTTTTTGTTTTCATCTCAGGAGCACTACTGGAAGAAGAAGAGGGCAAATGAAGGTATGTGCCACTAAAGGGTACCTTTGAACTCCTCATCTGTGAGGTGCTTGAAGGTTCTATTAAGGTAGAGTAGCAGGTCACTCAGGTCCTTTGTGTTGCCTCGGGCTACAGCATCAAAGATCCTTCTGCGATCGTAAAACTTGAAAGCTTTTTCTGAGCAGCCTGTGATGGAATCTGCAGACAGGAGCCTAACAAGGGTACATTTCAGTTACTAAAAGTCAGATACTATAAGTCAGAGATTTAAAAGACTTTTTATAAAACTAGCAGAATACTATTTTTCATTTGCTTGTGTGAAGTAGTAAGCACAGGTTAGAATAGACGGATCTGCAAAGACTACAAGATCAACAAAGCCTGCAAGCAATTGTTCTGATAAAATTGTGTATCACTTGCTGAAAAGCTGACAACAAGACTCAGAAGAGGCACTCAAGTATGGCAGTGAAACTGCAGGCCTGGAGCCAGGCAATCCCTTGTTCGCATTCTGAGTGATGTCCATTCACTGAACAGTCAATTAAGGCCTACTGCTAATTTTGGGCAAAATATCCACGGATTCTCTGAATTTTCAGGGATGCCAAAACAGCCATTGCCCCTTTCAGTTGCAACACTCCTTATTTTGGCAGAGAAAATAATGAAACTGAAAAAACCAGTCGTGCTCATGTGGAGAGAACAAACAGTGCTCTAAGAGCCATGGTCTGCAGTTGTCAAACTATTCCTTACAACCAGGTCTTGTGAAGGGGCAAACTTACTTGTGAAGTTTCCCCCTCTCCAAATTGACATTAAATTTGATGACAGAAGGTGCCACCAGGTGATCCATCTGGTAAAAGGAGTCCATGGGAGCCATGTCCTTGTCACTATCCCCCATCACAAACCGCCCACGCCTTGCAAAGATGTTGCTTTTGGGTGGCTGTGCCCTGGTGCTGGGTGGGCCCTGGGAGTTCTCAGATGTAGAGTCCTCCCCTTCTGTGTGTTCATCTGCCACTTCAGATTCCTCCATGTCAAAACTGCCAAATTTCTTCATCTTCCCAAGAATTGAAGACATGATGAGCAGGCAGTCTGTGAGGAAGGACACAAACACCTCAAGTCAGCATTTTACAGGGCCACAAGTTCCCTTTTGCCTCAGACCACTCTCCATGAACAGCAGGGAGTGGATTGGTTGCTCTCATCCCAGCAATGAGGCAGATGGACACAGATTCACTGTGCACAGAGTTGGAACAGTTTAGTAGGTCATTACCTCCATGTTGTTCCTGTCCCCACTGCCCTTACCCATTCCAGAATGGACAAAACAAGCGACAGCATCCCAGAGCTTGCCAGCCATCCCACTGCAGAGCTGACTCCTACTTAAAACTAGGGCTTCATCCTCCTCCAGTCATTGGTAAAACCCATATAATCTCAAGCCTCAACAATCTCTACTTTTCTTCTCTACTTTCTAACTGGTTTGTGCCACAATTTATTCTCATGATTATATCAGGCATGTGAAAACAGCCTGTTTGTGCCACCACGGTATGTCTGGGATGCTGAGCACAGAGGGCTTCCTGCACACAGGAAACGGCTTTGCCAGAATTATAACAGTGCTTGATGAAAATTGGAGCTTGTGATTCTCAAGAGAGGAGTGTCACCTCAAACATGAGACACAGAAACAGAAAGGGAAAGGTTACCACAGATAAGAGATGCCTGTAAGACCACACGTCTGATCCTGTCTGATTTACAACCACAAAGAACTTGACACAAGTTAACAAAGACAGAACCACAGAATGGTCTGGGTGGGAAGGGACCTTAAAGATCATCTCATTCCAACCCCTCTGCCATGGGCAGGGACACCTTCCACTATCCCAGGTTGCTCCAAGCCCTGTCCAACGTGGCCTTGAACACCTCCAGGGATGGGGCAGCCACAGCTTCTCTGGGGAACCTGTGCCAGGGCCTCCCCTCCCTCACAGATAAGACACTCCACTGAAAGTAGAGCAGGATGCCTTCTTTTTTTTTTTTTTTTGGTTTCTTATCAAACTGTTTTAATCAGACAAATGCTATCTTCATGCCACTGAATTCAAAATGTTCTAGAACTCCAGCAGTGGAGACAGGAATACATCATACTCGAACTGCTGCACTGCTGGCTTAGAAACATTCTCTGAAATCCTACATTGCTTGGAAATCCTACAGCTTCGAGCACAGGAATGTCACAAAATCTTTAAAAAGCCTTACATTATAAACCACATTACAGTGGTCAGTAATGTAAATTCAGTGTGAAAACAACATCATAAACACGCTTCAAGGTTGTTTCTCTTCACAAGAATATTCTGAGGCTTGCCTGCAAACCCACACTGTACATTTAGCTGGATTTTCAGTTCTATGGGAATACTTCATATTTACATCAAGGGTCACTTACCTTTTTCTGTGCAAGCAAGACAGGAAAGAAACTTTGGTCAGGCATTTGTATTTTCCATGTAAAGAAAACATCAATTCCAAACTTGCACATTTAGTGTTACTGGAAGCAAACCAGCATCATATGGACAAAATACTAATAACTGCAATTTAATTCACTCACCTTTCAAGTTCTTTGTGTCTTTAGAATCACTCAGAAAGAATAACATAATAACTTATTAACTTAACTGTTCTATAAATAAGAAATCAAAATATTTCCATTTGGAATAGGATACTAAAATTACAGTAGAACAACTATTTCAGTAGAAAAGGAATAAAACCAGTTCTATAAAAAAAATAGAAAAATATACAGTGGGAATACAGTCATGTATAATTTTAATTTTTTCTCTTATTTAAATTAATGTGGATTGAGCCAAAAACATCAGCGAGATGGCCACGGAAAATACAATCACTTATTTCCCACAGAATAAATGTAATGTTAAAATGTGCAGAATAGGCTCAATCCTGTCTCCCTGGCAATTGCTCAAACCTGCTCTAGTCATTATATGTGCTTTCCTTTCTAAACCCTGTTGAAAATATATTTGATAAGGAAGACAAAGCTGCATTTCCTCACGAGTATGAATTTGCAAGGGAATAAGAATAAGCTTCACAATTATGTGGAAGGAATCTTTAAAAAAATATTATCTATTCTACTAAACACATAAACTACTTGAACTCTCTGAAACCCTTATACATTGAAATTTGACACAATAAATGAGATAAGGAAATATTTCTGATACAATGCCTTGCCACATCACAACTTATAATAAATAATAGAGTTTAAAAACAACTAACAGCAAATATACATGCAGAACTTACAAATACTGACAAAAATCCTGTCTTCCAAAAAATAGTCCAGTCTCAGTAGGCACCCACTGATCTACAGGAATTTGGTGCCAGATATTCCTCCTCCAGGGTGCCTGGATTGAGAAGCCCTCAGAGTTTGCTTCTCCACTTCATTTGTCTGCAAAAGTGTGGCATGTGCTGATTTTTAGAATCAAGGGAAGTTCACTAGAAGAACAGAGAATAGAGCAATAAGATAATTAAGAACAATTCTGGAACCAGAAGCATCAGTGGCTTCGATTCCCAGAGGCTTAGCAGAGCTCTTTACAAGAACTGCAGTGAGTTGCTGTTGTTTTTTCCTCCCCTTTAATTGCATTTAGTAATGGATATTCTTCTCCAGATTTCCTCTTCGTAAATACACTCAACTTTGCAAAAAAACACCCAAACCATCAGACAACAATTGTTTCTGTGAGTCACAGTTTCATTTCAATTTCCAGAAATTTGTAAAATGTGCCACAGTCATCTTTCTGGACATCTTTCTTGAGTGGCTAATTCAGAGATAATTATTTTAAAGATAAGCTGATACAGAACAGAGCTGAGCAAGAACCAATGACAGAAAGTCCTAAAGCCTTTCCATTGTTCCACATCCCTACTAGGTTTTATTTCAATTATATAGGTAACAGTCAGCTTCTAAATATTAATGTAATTAGGAAAAATATCTAATCCAGGATGGATCTAACATCCTTAAAAATAAAGAACTGTGTCAAATATTGTTAAATATATAATTTACATACAATCTTTCTGACAAAAACTAGTCTAGAGAAAGAGTTTTTCCAGAGGCTGGGCTGACAGGCTGGGAGCAATCCCCAAGCCTCCTGAGGTTTTGAGTAGATTATGAAATTATTTAATGAAATTATCTGTGCTACGTTTTGCAAAAGGCAGCTGTCTTTCTAGTCTTGCCATCTATCTGCCTATCCATAGATGTATAAAAGAATTATACATTTGCCTATTTAACAGCAAACTAATTATGCTCCTTAGAACACCCTATGGCATTGTATCAAATGGAGTAACAAGCCTATTTATTAATGTATAAGTACAGATTACCAACGAGGCAGGTCCTCAGCTGCTGCTCCTGGAGCTCTGCTGAGCAAAGCCTCTCACTCAACATTACAATTAACTCCTTCCCCATTTCCAAAGCAGGGACTCAGCAGGAAAACTCCATGGAGCAGTGGAGGATCTCCCTTATTCAGTCTCTGGCTTCTTGCTGCTGCCTTTTGCTAAATGTTCCTTCTCCCTCTTCTCCCATTCCAGGCATCAGCTCCTTTCAGTCTCACTGTGCTTCGATGGATGTACTTTGGGAGCTTTCTGCTGCTTCCTGATGCCTCCTTTAGTAGCTCCTTGGCTTGTGTTTCCTGGGAAGATGTTATCTTCTTCTCCATTGCTTTTTGCAATAGTTGTTGGACCTTGTTTTTAGGAGATGTGAATGCTTGTCAAAACAAGCCAGTAATAAGCAAGAAGGAATTTATTCCTTTTCCTTGGGCCTGCCTCCAACATGCTGCAAAGGCTTTGTGCAACTTCTGTGCTTGAGAGGGATTTTACCCACTAAGAGCCCTTTCCATCACTGCAAATGGAAAACCATCAGCAGATGTGCCAGAGATCCTAAAGATGTATCCAGGGCTGGCCTGCAGCTCAGAGACAGCCTTGCCTTTGCTAATAGAACCTCAAACCAGGCCATGATTTACCAGCTCCTGGAAGTAAATGCCACTTGATCTCATGGGTAACAGGGCACTGGAACAGTATTATCAGCTCTTTCCAGTTATTCAATAAAAATGAAAGCAGATATGCTGATGCAAAAATAATTTATACTAATGTAAGAGAGAAAACAACATATAACAAGTTAAGGCTTTTCTTTAATCTAGTCTACATTTTCTCTGTAATTCCTTCATATGCCAGCAATTCCCTAAACACGACATGGAACAGATGCACACAGAGAGGGTGGAGGGAGTTGGAAATTCAGCATCTCTGTAGTTAAGATCTCAGAACTCAGCACAGCTTTTTCACTATAAAAATGTCAGTCCTGATGTTGCTAATAAGCAAGATAGGAATCTATGTCCATATTTCAGTGGAAACATCTGTTGCCTAGTAATGGAACTGTATCTGGATAACATGAAACACCTTCCTTGCTTCCCCAGGTCATTTGAGCAAAAGAAGTGTACATGTATCTTGGTTTAGTCTGAAACTAGAAAATGTTTTCACATTAAAATAAAGAGTAAGGGAAGAAATAAAGTCTAAGAGCATAATACAGGGGACAAAACCATGGAAATTTTAAGGGAATGCACATGAGCAATACCCAACATTAAAAACAGATTAGTCTAGCTAATTGATTAATGCTTAATTTGACACAATACAGGAAGGGCAGAATCAGAAACACCTTCAGATCAAACACAGTAACATAGCTCCTCCAGTTTATCACAATTCTGACTGTTTCAGAGAGGCCCTGATCCAAAACTCAAACATAATTATATATGTCAAATAAAGAAAAGAATTACTTCTCACCCTATAAATGCATTTTCCACTTGGCCATAATCCCTGCACTCCAGGCATCTCCAGTCATGGTAACAGCCTAGTCATGCCTTTGACCTCAGTCCACTGCACCCAAATAGAGTAGAAAAAAATAGAATAGAAACAACCCTCCATGTTTTATTTTCACTATTCTGTCGATGTTCAAGCCAAGGTATCATTCCATCTTTTACAGGGACAACATGCAATCCATGAAAACTGGGATTTGTTCCGAGCAGGAGCCACCAAATCCCCCCAAACAAGGCTGACACCCTGGTCTGCTGCCTGTCTGTATATTGTGAGACAGCTTAAGGACAAGAAGTCTCTAATGAAAGCATCAGACTAAGTTACAGCTGCTCTTCTCTCCTAGTCCTTCAAACATATTCCTACCAGGAAAATGAGCCTTGTATGAAGTATCATTTTATGCAGGAAGTTAATGGATCTCTCCCAGTCACTCAGACAAATGTAATGTGGTAATTACTGCTCATTTCACAAATGGGAATGACAGAGCACCGAAATGTGCAGATCCAGAAGAAGTGGACATTAAGTGCTGGGGCTTTTTCCCTCTGTAATGAGTGAGACTGCATGTGGAATAAAGTGAAAAGAAACACTGTAGAGTCAGGAAGAAAACAGAGGCTCCATCTCAGGCCATTCCAATTAACCACTTTATTTCCCATGGAACACCACCATGGCAGCCCCCACAGCAGCATCAACATCTTTCCCGTAAACCACAGGGAATGGAAAAATCCTTTCCACTTCCTGCTTCAGCACCTCGTTCCTGGCCAGGGCACTCCCACTGCCCAGGATCCTCCTCACGCCCACGTCCCTCAGGCGCTGCACAGGTAACATGGAGCAGAGGTTCTGGACAATTCCACGGCACAGAGCTCTGGTGACGTGGCCCAGGGACAGCTCAGAGGCAGCAATGTTGGTCACTGATCCCAGCTGCTCAGGAATGTGTCTCTCTCCAAATATGGTTGGGTGGACTGAGAGTTTGCTGTGGTTTTGGGCCAAGGCTGCTTGGATTATCCTTGTATAGATGGCAGACTCCTGGACCTGAAGTCCTGCAGATGGGAAATACCAGGTTACTAATCTGGTGGAGACTTACAATGGACACTTATCCACTTGTTCAGCAAAATACTGGATATCTCTTTCCATGTCCCAAGGGTGACTCTTTTTTCCAGGATTATGAACCCCAGTTCTCCCACTCAATTGTATCCAGGACATGTGACACTAGAAACCTTCTCTGAAACTGCCTTTCCTGACAATACAGCTATTCCTTGTTACCTGCCCTGTGCTAAGTTACACAAAACAACACCAGGCACTAATGGCAGAGAGCAGCTTCAGTGGCTGGATTCCATGTGAATGCGAAGCTCACCTCAAGTACTCGCTGAAAGAACAATTTCAGAGCTCACTTTTGTATTGCAAAACCCAAGAGATTATTAAAAAACCTGTGAAGACCACACTTAAAGCACTTAGAAGACATAACACGAGTTTGAGTCTTAAAATCCATTAGAGTTCTGCAAAAAGCAACTGATCCAACCAAGGGACTCCTCTGGACTGCAGTCACACAAAATTAGAGGCTGTTGTCCTCAAATCTGCCAGCTTTTCCTTGTGAAAATCAACTTGCACAAAATAATTCTCTTCTGTCCTTGAAACCAAAGAAGACCTAGAGGCAATGTGAATGTGGAGTCCAAGCATGACTGTCCCAGCATGTTCATAAGCAGGAAATTCCAGAGATCTAGGAAGCCTGGCCCAAGAGTTACATCCTCGTTCCCTGTATGGCACGACAGAACAGCTCTAGGCTTGTTCCTTTGCCTCAGCTTCCTTTTACATTGATGATCAACCTCAATTTTAAGCTTCAGCTCTCCTTGGCATGACTTACCCAGCTCCCCTGCCCACTGTGCCACCATGCCCACAAACGTGGCCAGCACGTTGCCTCCGTTGAGCGATGCTGCCACTGCCAAGTAGTCCCCGTTGAAGTAGGGAAAATAAGTAACAGCTGAGGAAGGATCTGGTGTGTCTGGAGGCTGGAAACCAGGGGGCATTGAGATGGTCAGCTGAGCAGAGGTACTGAAATTAAGAACTAGAACACAAAAGAAATTAAAAAAAAGAAAAAAAAAAATCAGTGTTTTACTAAGCCACCCTGAAGGAGGACGACGAGTAAACCAAACCAGATACCAAAATTACCATACCTGCATCAGTCCTCTCAGTCAGACAGGAATAAACAGAGCACTGGAAATCTCCCAGAGCAATTCCTACTTTTGCTCCTTTGGGTATTCCATGCCATGCATGGGTTGTCCTGCCTGCAATGCTTCCAGGGTCTCCCACCTCTGGAAGCAAGTGAACGGGAAAGCCGGATTTTTTCAATCTGTAATCAGAACAACATTATTGGAGGAAAGCAGTATGGGAACTGTGGCATGACTACAAAGACCTCTTTGAAGTCACAGATGAAGCTGTCCATATATTTGTGGCTGCTGGACTTATGGAGGCTTTCACCTATTTAGAAAGCTCTGTCTTGGACAGGGGCAGCATTCCAGTCCAATGGGCTGGGTAAACTAGAATAGTCTAGAAGAATATACAGTTTTCCTTTATGTGCAATCTGAATACCTGAGATCATACAGTACGTGTTCAGCAAGTTTAACCTGCTGATGTCACATGGACAAGCAGTTCCAGGGTAAAGGGACAATCAAAAAACAGCAAAAAATGCAGCTAAGTGTCAAAGAACTTAAGATGTCATGCAATTAGTGGTTCAAAACACAAAGAGTTAAATCCAACAAACTCCTTATGCAATCAGCTGCAAGATAACACTACAGTGCTACAGCAACAACTCCACATTAGTAAAAGTTCAGTTGGCAAAATGCAAGTTTCTGTCACTCTTTCATACCTTGATGAGAAGATCTTTCACTTTGGAGTCCTGGCCTAACCTAAGCCCTGAATATATAAGGCCTTAGCACTCAGTCCTGAAAGAGTAAATCATTAAAATAAATAAGTAAATAAATAAACTGATTCCCTATAAGATTTCCTGTAGCTTAACAACTACATTATCACAGGTAAGTCTTAGTAGTTATGAAGCAGCTCAGTTGAAAGAACTAAGAGAGTGATAACTGCCTTTGCCATGAGGGAACACCGTGGCTGCAATGTGCACTTGTCCATTCCCATCCATCCCATCCCACCATGGAAAAGGAGAGAGCAGTTTGCTATACAAGGACTCACTGACGAGTCTCTCAGCTCTGCTGTGGGCAGGTATTTCTAAAAATACTGTACCACATTTTACAAGATTTAAACAGATACACTTCACAAACCAGAGCAAACTCTCAGTAGTCAGGAGTTCAGCAGTACAGGTCACAACTGAGTAGGAGTAACTTTCAACCCCTTTTTACCTGTAGCACATTGATACTCAGAGCCCAAAGAGGTGCAGTGCACAGGCCCCACTGAATGACCACTTACATGTCAATATTCCAGCTTTTGCTTCTGGAATTAAAATATCCCCAGCTGGCAGCATTC